ACAACTTTTATATCGTAATATTTTGGTGAATACTGGACTGATGCGACTTAGATTTCCATAATTATCCATAAATGTTTTGCTGTTAAAAACAATTAATTGATTTACATTACAAGCTATCCTCTTACTTTTTGGCCATACTGTAGTATCAGCAAGTATCAGCAATTAGCTTAAAAATCTGAATTAAAATTAGGTGTTTCAATTTCCTCTTGAAGAAAATCTTTAAGATTAAATTAATGTGCCATCAAAATCTTTAAAGTAAATTCCTTTCCTGTCAATCAAATGAGATCGCAAACCAATGTTCAATTGCCAATGGACAAAATTAAATCATGCACAATATATATATATATATATATATATATATTTTTTTTTTTTTTTTTTGTTCAAGAAGCCCATACATCCCAATCCATTTCATCATGCATGACTATTTTTTTTCTAGCCTTTATTACAACAGATTCAACCAACACCAAAGCCAAATCCAGCAACATCTTCAACATATAAATGCCCATTTCTCTTCTGAGATATCTAGTGATTTTAGCTGGGGATGAGAGACGAATATCTAAATAGGCTTTTCTCAGATTAAAGTGTTCTTCCTCAGCCAAGTCCAACATGACGACTACAAATCAACACCAGAGTCTACAAGCAAACATTAGCTTAACCGTCATCTGTTGCTTAAACCATCTGCTGACCCATTAAGAAGCTTTGAATTGGACTCCAACTGAAAAATGTTCAGATGCGTACTTTTCAGGAAAAAAAAATCATGCATCATAAATGCAGCTGAAGGGAATTTATGAAAGGCTGGATAAAATGATAAATTTACTCCAGTTCAAGCTCACTAGCTCATACAAAAATCTTTTTTGTCCTTTTTTTTTCCACTTGAGAGAACATTGTGAAGCCAAACAAAGATAGTCACTCATCTCTCACATCCACAGCAAATAACACAGGGTGTTGCACTAATTTAAACCATAAATCTCATAGCATGGCAGAGGATCAGTAGAAAGATGTATAATGTGCACTTGGGAATATTTTGCCTGCTCTTATATCATTACATGACTCACCAAACATCTGCTCAAATGTATCATATGGAATACTCGCTTATAGATGCATTCAAAGCCTTTTAAAAGCCAAGGACGTATAAAAGATGGGTGATGTGCCTATGAGACAATTACAACCTGCCAGTATTCTTTCCCAAGCACAAGGACATGTTGCTTGCAGAAGGTAGAAAAATGGATTGGAGACAAATACGAGATAAGAAAGGAAAGCGAAGATCGGTGCAAGAACGGCTCGAACAAAAGAGACAGTGAATGTAATTCAGGACAAAAGGATTACAGACAAACTGCATGAACATTTCTTACCTCTTTTGAACAGTACTCTATAAATAAAGGAAATTTATTGGCATTGATGGTTCCATGAGGAACCTTTAAACGGATACTCCACTTTTTTTGGAAATAGGCTCATTTTACCACTCCCCCAGAGTTAAACAGTTGGGTTTTACCATTTTCGAATCCACTCAGCCGATTTTCTGATATTTAGAAGAATATCAGTAACCAGACAGTTTCTGGTCTCATTGACTTCAATAGTAGGAAAAAAATATACTATAATGGAAGTCAATGAGACCAGAAACTGTCTGGTTACTGATATTCTTCTAAATATCAAAAAATCGGTTGAATGGATTCGAAAACGGTAAACCCCAACTGTTTAACTCTGGGGGAGTGGTAAATTGAGCCTATTTCCAAAAAAAGTGGAGTGTCCCTTTAACATCAATGGAAAGGTTCTTTATCCTGGAAAAAAAAGGTTTCTTTAGATGTTTAAAATGTTTTTTCTAACTAAGAAAAATGGTTCTTTTAAGAACTGTTCACTGAAAGGTTCTTTGGAGAACAAAAAAATGGGTGTTCTATGGCATCGATGTGAAACCTTTGTTGTGAGGAGTGTATCCAAATTAATTCTCTCCATCATGAAAGTCATGGTAAACAGAGCATTTTTTCAAAAGCATTTTTTTCTGAAAATTATTAGAAATGTTTTAAAGTTTAATATGTAGTAGTTTGTTGATTGATATTGATTTTATGATTGGTTTAGTTTATCGGGCTTCAAAACATCAAGTGTTGTTGCATGGAACAACTATAACTGCTTTGAAGAACAGCACTGAAATGGATTAATGGATTTATCATCGACTTTCTCGTGCTCTCCCACTCACCTTTGTACATGTCTTTTCCTGTTTCCCCTACTCTTGGGTTCTTCTTTCCGCCGTACCAAAATCTATTCATTCTTTGCATCACTATCTCTCTTTTGAACTTCGTCTTACACTCTCCCTCAAATCCAAACATGTTGGGTGTGCTGCAGCCTGACTCAATTAGACATGGATCTCTGAGGGCCACTGCTGCTTCCTCCATTAATCCATTATTACATAATAGTCATCATTACGGAAAACAGCACTTGGCTTTCATACAACTTCACTCTCGTCTCATCACACTATTCCCACCCCACACATTATTTTAACCTCTCTTTTTGTGCATTGTTTCGCACAGCTGTGCTTTACGTCTGAACATTTATATAATTTTATTGGGAATCATTGAACAAATGGGGACATTTCTTGTTGTGACTCTACCTTTTTAAATAGTATATTTTCCTTAAATAGTCACGCTTTCTTGTTTGTCGAGAGGAAAAAAGCATTGTTTGTTTCCTTTATTCGCAAATGTTACATAATCATGGGTGGTTGGAAAATGGCCAGCCTTAGAATACATTAATCCTCTACGGCACGTTAGAGGTGTTCAGTAATTCACTGCAGCTATAAAAGCTTTGAGAAAGTTTTAAAGTGTGTGTGTGTGTGTGTTTTTTATTTATTTATTTATTTTAATAAAAGCTCTGTTTTCCATCAAAAGTGGATAATGCTTATACCCTTTTTAATTATTGACGTGAAATCCCATTCTCCCAAAAACAGAAATCTGCCGCACAAGTTACATAGCACTCATTTACATTCGCCGCAAAATAAAATTGTGAAGGACTTAATTTTAAAGAATTTTCATTTAGAATGCTAGTCAATTTCACAAATTACAAAGAAACAACATGAGAAGACTCAAACTGTATGGTGTCAAAAAAAAAAAAATCATAACTGTTTTATCAGGCTGTTCTGGAGAGTCTAATCAGGTACAGGATCCAAGCTTGGTGTGGTAACCTCTCTATACAATTAAAAAAACAGACTTTCACATTGTCCAGACTGCAATTAAAATAGTGGAGTTGAAAGCCACACAGGATGCTGGCTGATCCTTCTCACATCCTACATCCTGAGTATGCGCTTCTGCCTTCAGGAAGAATAGAGTGCCCATATGTCGACTCAACTGAACTGCTTTAAAAACTATTCTGTCTGCCTCTATTAGAATCTTAAATGGCAAAGACAAAGGCCTATGTTTGTTTCTGGTTAGTATTTAACATGTATTCTTATTTACTGTTGGATATTGTAATTTATTGCTGGTTTTATAGTTTATGCAGCAATTATTTTTGCAAAAATAGTGGCATTTTTAGCTGTGCAATATGACCCATATGTTTTGCTCCCCTGTACGGACTGTTTATGTGAGACGTCATGTGACTTGAATATTTATTGTGTGATTTGAAAATGCAGCATACACTAAGCCCAAGAAAAAAATTCCCTAAGGGGATAATAAAGTATATCGTATCATAAAATATCGCAAGTAACACATTGAATTAAGCGTGACATTTTACAGTAGAAATACTGAAATTGTATTTTCTTGTAAAAAGTATCATACTTCAGTAATCGTCTTTGTTTTATTTGTTTTTTAGAGTGTAAGATAGAGAGCAACCTAATACCAAGGGATGCAAATTGTTTCAATATGTGCTTTTATTTAAATAGTTTCCCATCTTGTTGAAATAAGCAGAAATAAATTAGGACTGTGGGGAAAAAAGGGTAAGAAGGCTTTAAGGTTTTCAACACTACACACCAAAGTGTCTAAAACAAAAGCCTTTTCTGAAAGCCATTTCAAAGAGCAGGATTCGGCTGCTGCCTGAAAATAGACTAAAAGAGGTAGTAGGCTAAAAATTATCAATACTGTGAATATTGTACTTCTTTATGACTTTTGAATTATGAATTGACACCTATTTTCTCATTTTTCAAACTATTGAAGTAATCGACCAAAACATCTGGGCTAGTCAAATCATAAACTGAACACTCCAGACTTGTTTTAGGCCATTTGTTGGTAAGCTACAATTACAGAATGTTACCTTATAGAATATATTAAATATTAAAGTTGTAGGCTCCCCTCCAGTTTAATTTAACGTATTGTGAATTGTGTATCTAGAAATATTTTACTGGTGAAGTGTGGGTACAGAATCAATGGATGTACAGCGGCGCCATAACATAACAAAACAATAAGCGAGTTCTGTCGTGTGACACACGTGACTTGTTCCACAGCTATCGAACGTGATTAAACCCGCTTATTTTCTCGGCGGATACATTAATAACTGTTTGTGAAAAACGTTTCTCCAAAACAAAGCACTAAAGCTGAGCATATGATTGCAGCTTGTTGCTGCTCCCATGACACAGTAGGTAGCTGTACACTATAGGAGAAAAAACAACAACACCATATGGGATAATGTATATACAGCGCGAGAAACAAAAGAACACACACAATGGACTGAACAATGGCTCAACGACTCCGCGCTACCTATTTTTTTTTATTATTTTTTTTAACGCGTGTAGATGAAAATGGCACAAACATCTTTGAGAAAATATTCTTTAAAGCATATCTCTTGCACTGCATTTTAACAAGGTCTTTCCACCGTAGCCTATTCAAATGCATTGTGGACAAAGGACTGGACAAACCCTCCAACATAGCCATGTTTAGCATTACCAGCAAAACTCTTGAAAAAACAAACAAACTTGAATAATTATTATTTTTAACGATATATTAAGGTTCGCAAACTTGATTACAATAACACTGCAAAATATGAATAAATAGGACGTAGATGCTGAAAAATAACACAAAACTTACCGTTATTGTGACAGCTCGAGATCAGTAGGTTTAATTGCTTACACAAAACGCTGATAACTCAGTTTTAGCATCCTTTGTGGCGAAGGTTTCCCATTCCGAAGCATTCAGAATCCGGTTTGTGATCTAGTAAGACAACTGGTGTGTCACGATGTTAAGCCTATAGCCTATGGAACTGGTTCACATAATTTGTTTAAACAAGTCCAGATGTTTTGAAACTGATTCGGGATCATGGCAAACCTGCCTTTTTAGTATCCCTCCGGATTTCCTTTCTTTCAAGTGTATAAAGCCTATCTGATGGCACTCGGTGTTTCAGTGTTTTCATTTTGATTCACATGCTCCGTGTCTTTTTGGAGTGTACCATTCTCTTAAGAGTGGGGGGAGGTCGGAGCACAAAGGGGCTCAGTGAATTTAGCCAAAGGATTGTGCACCCCTTTCAGTAACGTATTATTATGTTAAATGTTTTGAATCTAAAGGCTAGCCTACTATAAATTTGGGGTGTTTGAAATTATTGTAAACAATGTCACTGACAATTCAAATGCAAACATATCATCGTAGGCTATATGTAAACCGTTGTGACAAGCTGAAAAGGAAAAAAAATGCTATTCGCAGTTTGGGTGGTCAACGTTGTCACAATGTTTCTATTTTCTGTCCAAAGTCACTCCTGAAGCGAGAATCTTTGCCTTTATTTATTTTATTTTTAATTAGCCTACTGTCTGTCTTATCTAGCCTAATAAAAAAAAATGTTATTTCTGAAAGTTCTCTAAACATTCAAAACGTTTTTTTTTTTTTTTTTTTTGTGAACGTACATTCCATTTTATATGTTACAGGGAACGTAAGCCTACGACCATCCAACAACAACAACAAAAAATCTGGAAAAAACTATGAACGATGTATAACGTAACCGAACGTTCGCTATTACTTGAAGAACAAGCCATAGTTCAGAAAACAAAGTCTCAGAAAACGCTGTTTGGAATCATCTGTTTCTTACGTCACAAACCTTGTAACAATCATGTAAACTTGCAGGTGGGCATTGGCATTTCATTACTTTGCTCTGAAGCAGTGGAATCTCAAGAGAAGCATCCCAGTATTTTTCTGTTGATATGAAAATTCGGAATGGCTAGCATTACACTGTGAATTATGCAAATGATGTATATTACAATTTTATGAAACAACTAAATGCTTTTCACTGACGTTCTGAGTTCAAAGCGTTTCTAATGGTGTTGATTGTTAGAAGGCACAAAGGCAGCTGTTTGACTCTGAGAATGGTGAATGGGAACATAGTTTATGTAACATAGCAACACATCATTAGCTGTTTGATAAAATATCACGCAAAAGGCTAATCATATTAATTACCCTTATGTTCCCAACATTGTAGAGAGCGACACATAAAAACATTTACATTCTGATACATCCACTTGTTCAAGCCTTTATAATTCACTCTTCCACTTCTTCTTCTAAATTACTTTCTGGCTCAAACACATGTCTGAATTAAACCAGTAGAGTGGACCAATATTCTGAGCTGGTGTGAGTGAGTGGAGGCGGGGCTAATTTGCATGTTAAGTCCTCCACAAGGGTGTAAAGTTACATTCAAGCTATTAATGAATAAATTAATATACATTTCAGGAAAAAAAAAACTTTAATTATGTAATTTTGGTGATCAAAGATGAGTTTTAAGGGATTCAATTACAGGGGAACTTGAATTTAGTGGGATGTTTTAAATATTAAACATTACAAAATTATAGAAGTTGCAACTTATAAAAATTGCAACATAAGTGATATATAGACATTCTGCAACATCTCCGTTCCACAGTGGGCCCCTCCATTGACCCGCTACAGTTTACCTACAGACCCAACATCGGGGTGGAGGACGCTGTGATCTTACTATATCATCATGCCCTCGCCCATCTGGAATAGCCCGGGCAGCACTGTGAGAATCATGTTTTTTGATTTCTCTTTTAACACCATCCAGCCGATGCTTCTGAAGGACAAGCTGGTGAGGATCATCTGCTGTCACAGTGGGTCCTGATTACTATCTCACGAACCGGCCACAGTTTGTGAGAACACGAGACGGCGTGTCTGATCGTCTCATGTGTAGTATGGGTGCCCCTCGATTGTCTTAATGTGGATTTACTTTTAAACTGTAACATATTTATATATGTTTAGCATGTTCAGGATGATGTGCTATTATAGGAAATAAATGAAACATTTGCTAATTTAGATGTTATTGCACAAAAAAATGTCAAATATTAAAAGAGATGTAAGTTGGCCCCTACCGTGAGTAAAAAGCACAGGAAATTAGTCAATAGCAGACTGATCTTGAATTAAAAAAATTCTAGAAAAGGCAGGATCCTCACAACTTTGTTCCTTTTTTTAATAAATAAAAGGTATCTGTGAGGATTTCCAGTCAGGATTTAGGCCATATCACAGTACTAAGACTGCTCTCATTATTCCGAATGATTTGTTCTTACCATCCGATTGTTGTTGTATAGTGTTATTGGATCTTAGTGCTGCATTTGCTACTATCGACCACATCATTCTTTTGAGTAGACTCAGAAATAATGCTGGCATAATTGGAATTGCATTGGAAAGGTTTAAATTATAATCTGACCATTATCAGTTTGTAGCACTAAATGAAGAGATTTAGATCATATGTCACAAGTTATGTAAGGAGTACCGCAAGGCTCAGTAGTGACCGTTGTTTTTTACCCTGCAAAAAAAGCCTGCTCTTTCCTTTGCAAACTCTCCCTCTATCTCTCTCTTTTGATTGTTTTAATTTAATTTTAAGGGTTCAAAAACTTCCATTTACAAACAATAAAGCACAAATGCAATCTCTCTCTCTCTCTCTTAAGATTTTCCCCCACATTTTGTTTTTACATTTCTGTCTGACTATTATTTCAGACTTCACATGCTTAATGTATTAATTAATTATAACTCTGTATTCCATTTTACTGGATTACACTGGGTTTTTAAATTACAGTGGATTTGTTAAATATCAAGATAACAATAGGCTAGGCTAACAACAGGGTAATATGTAATTACCTTGCTTACAATTTAAAGGAGCTGTATAATGTATTTCAAAAACTCATAAAATGTCACAAGACATTAAGAAATCATGTTCATTTCAAATACTTATACTGACAACTGTAGTCCAGCCAGGATATTGTCATTTCAAAAGTTGCAGGCAGCCCTCAGCTGATGTTGTCATGTTGTGTTTTGGTCTTATGATGCTCCACCCTCCACCGATCCACCAATTCACGAAGTCTGTTTAGTGTTGCAACATCCGGGTTGCCAGCTCTTCTCTAGATACCACAGCTGCAGCTACAGACGTGTAGAATAAAAAAAAAATGTTGGATCCTGCAGCTTATCTGGCAACCTCGAGTCGGTACACCGCTCTACAGTAATTTGAAAGTGATTGCAGTACCAGTTTTGGCCACAACCACACAACAGTGTGGTTCTGGCTTTTCAACTTTGATGCAAAGTTGTAAACACGTAGAGGACGTTGCAATAATTAATAATAATATTAATAAAACATTAATAATAATTCTGAAAAAGCATAGCGGGGTATTAACGTTACCAAAATATGACAGCGGCACTTTATTGAAAGGAACTATGGAAAGAATAAAAGATGCTGACTATTGCTTTACTGATTTTATGTGTTTTATTATAACAATACAACCACTTTTCTTATTTGTTTCAAGAAATATGTGTCACTGTAAAGTTTGACTCTCGGTTCTGTCGCTGTCTAGTGCTGAAACAGGACACGCTTCAGGAACATCCAATGTGGCTCGTAGGCATAGACCAATGGTCATTAATGTAAAGAAACCTTCGTTTATATTATATGCTTCTGATAATCTGTTGTTCGTGGAATGTAGGTAGGCTACAGCACACACAGGTCAGGGTTTCAGAATCGGGTTTTCGACAGGCTGAACAACGAGTAGCACTACTGCCCTCCTGCGTAACAGCTGCATCAGCACAACAGCATTCTGCCTTTCAAAGGCTCGAGATTTTTTTCCCGTGTTACTGTTTCCTGCCACCTAAATGTCTTTTAAACAACCCCTTTTAGCGAAATACACTAGCTTTTCTGTTTGGACAAAATAAGACAAATTTACCATCAAAACAGGCATCAAGGCAACAATATTAACAAATAACAGTCTACATGCGAAAGTGGTTGAATTTGAAAATTCAAATATAAAGACAATAAAAGGAAAATAAATAATTACTTTAAAAATATATTAGCCTAATGTTAATAAAATAAACGAAAAAATAAACTAAAGTATTGTACACATAAATAAAGAAAGCTGCATAGTAGTGTCACGATACGAATACAAAAAGTGGAGAGGAGGACTCAAGTGCAGGGAATGGATATTTATTAATAAGTGGAAAAAAAACACACAAACTAGAACTAGAATAACAAACACTGACTAAAACCATGAACACCAACACAAGGAACAGGGGCAACATAAGGCAAAGATCCGACAAAAACAGCAAGAGGAGACTTAAATAGGGAACAAATCAAGAGGGAACAGGTGGAAGAACTCAAACGCTAATCAGGTAACGAGGGGGAGGGATCAAACAATGACAAGAGCACATGTCCCGACAGCCATATGCAATACAAGACAGGACAGACACGTAACACATAGAAAGCTACAGTCAATTTATTGAAAACAATTGTAGGTTACAATCTTTCTTGAGCTCACCAAATTTAACTTGTTCATAGCTTGTTCTTCAAAGGGTTTTTATGGTTAAATGTACGGTGGCCGAGGTGTTGTGGAACTGATGAAGATGTTTTTCTTAATTTGCGGATGTATTTTTGTATTTGAATGCGTTTTTATAGTTGCAAACGTTTTTTTGAATTTGCATTCGTCTTCATCAGGTTGCAGCGCGGTGAGCTCTCTCGGCCACCGTATAAATGGACGTCGATGCAGGTCATTTTGCTGTACTACTGAGACCAGAACAGCTTTAAATATTAACAGTAAGTAAAAAAAAAAAAAAAAAAAAAAAGGTGCTCAGTTGTTTCAATGTCATTCTCAAAATTTAGGCAAACCAATGGGCTTCATGCCCAGCTGCACTACTTCCTGAACTTCATTGCCCAGCTGCACTACTTCCTGAACTTCAGCCAGCTCCGTGTTTCCTGTCTGCAATTATTGGCCAAATTGATTAATCCAGGTGTGCCTGACCTCAGTTGTCATGGCAACAATAATCAGACACACCTGAATTAATCAATTTGGCCAATAATGGCAGACAGGAAACAAGAAGCTGGCTGAAGTTCAGGAAGTAGTGCAGCTGGGCATAAAGCCCATTTGGTGTCGAAATACCACTTCAAAACGTCATAAATATCTCTGAACAGATACACGTGCCCCCTCTGTTGGTGTACATTGAAACTTCTGTGGGAAGTATGTTGTTTCAAACCTGTAGGAGTTTCTTTCTTCTGCTGAACACAAAAGAAGATATTCTAAAGAATGTTGGTTGACCGTCTCCATTGACTTTCATAATATTTTTTTTCTCTACTACGGAACTCAATGGCTACCGTCGTCTAGTTACCAACATTCTTTAAAATGTCTTCTTTTGTGTTAAGCAGAAGAAAGAAACTCATACAGGTTTGGAATGACATAAGGGTGAGAAAATTATAACAAAATGTCATTTTTGGGTGAACTATCCCTTTAGATGTGTCAATTAGTATTAGAATGTATTTCTTTAATGGCACTTTAGGACATGAATCATCATGCTTGATTTTGTACATTTCCACATTCGTAAATTTAATTAATTGATATAGCTTATACTGTAGGCTACATTTAGAGAAGAATTTCAACAAAAGAAATACATGAGAAAATCTACATGAATGACTGAGAAAGTCACAGGAAGGGTTGTCAAACAGCCGTTGAAGCTTGTATTACCCTACACCTCCAAAAAATGCATCAAACAGCATCACTGTTGTCTGAAATGACACTAAAAAGTTATAAATATTTGATGTAATGACTTTTAACAAGCAGAAAGAAATTTCAACAATCAGATATTCATGTTCACTTTAGATTGTTGATTGAGTGAGCTGGAATATTTGTCTTTTGTTGCCATTGTTGTGCATGCAACCTATCACTATTGGGTTTTGAAATAGCAATGGGCTCTATGCACGGCGTTATTTCCGGTGAAGGATTAAGGATGCTCGATAACTTCCGCCGATCATAGAGTCCAATGCAATACTGAGAATTTATATTGAATTTTATACTCCATGGTTATACTAATGAAACGTTAGTCACAAAAACAGATAAAACAGACACCCCTCGTTGTGTTTATGCTTCTTTTTAAAATTATATTAAATAAACATAACTATATATAAAATTACATCTAAACGTATGTACGTTTCGTTTCAAAGACGGGAGGACAGTACATATTGAAGACTCTGCCATAATCCCGTTTTCTCCGGTTTTCCTCCGCTTTAATCTACACAACCGGAAATGGACGAGCATCCTTACGTCAAATGCGGAACTTATGCGTGCATATAGCCCATTACCACTTACTTCCTTAGAGGCTGTGCTTTTGAGGTATCGCCACAAACTCACAAATTCCCTGGACTGAGTAATTCTGGTGCTCCAATAAATCTTTGACGCATGAACCCTTTAAGAACCACAAATAAATCAGAATAAATCTCCTGCACTGTGATGGAGATTTTGTGGAGAAACTTTGGAGTTTATGGAGTTCTGTTCATGCCAATCCACAATTGAGGCTGACCCACAACCACATCCTTTTTTTTCCTTCCCTTTTAATGCATTTAAAGCACATGCCACTGTTTTAAATGGACTATTGAAGCCGTTTTTATGATTGTTTATAGCATAGTTTAAAGCAGTAGGCTATCAATTTTCAGGAATTCAGGTGGTCAATACAACTTTCTACAGAAAGAAACTTGTCACAAAGACCTGGCCTCAAGTAGTATGAATATATAGGTTATATACTTTACTGTAAAACCACTGCAAGCAGGAACAAGAACCCTAAAATATTGTGTTACGGCCTAGTTGGTGTGTGACAGAAAAAAAAAATGGTTTACTGTCCCTTTAAGACTGCGCTATTGTCATTGGTCAATGAGCATCTGGATATCGTGTGCGCTTGTGCAGGTTCATTCTATTCCAGGGGCGAGTGTTATTACAAGGCCTAGAATTGAATGCATCTGCATAGAATAAAATAATACTCTGTAGAATTAGATATCATAACAAATGCTCATTTGACGCGTTGCTTGCAAACAACCCAATCCGGATAAAAATGGCTGAATTACCGATGGGGAAAGTGGTCACCGCAGGGAAAATAGCAAGCAATGTACAGAAAAAAATTACCAGGGCTCAGGAAAAGGTAAGACATTTTAATCATCATATACATATTTAAATACATCATGTCTCTCAACACCGATGTCAATGTGTTAAGCCTACCTTTCAGCACCAAGCATTAAGGCCAGTGTTTCGTCCTCTAACGTGATGTATTAAACGTGCAAAGTGTTAGAGTCGAGGCTCATCCATCACTAGCAAAAAGCCTACTAAAGTACGCATTTGCCTGGTATGTATTTGCTTATATTTTAATACATGTATGGATTTTACTTTGTTGAAGGCGCAAGCTCGCTGTTTATTGCATTGCAGTGGGGCTGCTATGGAAACAAATAGAAAGCTGTGCCTGTTACAACTGGATTTGTGGATTCGCTTGATACCACGAAGATCAGCTCTGTGTGTGTTTTAAGCTTAAATCAACCCATTTATTGCCTCTGAACCTTTACATAGGTGTTTTCGTCCAATGGATGAGCGCGGCGGCGATATCTGATTCGTAAACGAATCGTTCTTTGAATAGAATCTCTTCATTGAATCGGTTCACAAAACAAGTCCGAACGATTCGTGCACGAAGTGGATCTCGTCATCAGAGAACGGTCTCTTTCAAACGTCAGATTTTTAACGAGCCGAGAACTATATGATATACGTTAAGTGAATGTTAGTATTTTAGTTTGTTTAGAATTGAATGCATAGTTTCTATTAGCTGAATCAGCGCATGATCGCAAGGTACTACAAACTGAACAAATCAGCAATAAAATCCGTAGTAATACTACTTCATTGCGAGAAAAGTAATACACAGCGACATTTGCCTACATATGGCTAAGCAGGGATGACAGGGGCCACATGATGACGTAATTACGTTTTTTTTAAACGGTTCTTCGAACGAACTGTTCAAAAGAACCGATTTGCGGAAATGAGTCAGTTTTTTCATCACTATAGTCCATCACGCACTGCTGCCCTTCATCACCGTGATACCTGTCAGGACGACATTTGACAACTCTGTGTAAAATACTCCAACAGATATTCAAAAACTATTTAAAAAAAAAATTAAAAAAAACTGAAATGACTAAATGTTAGCTGTGGGATTAAATGGCTTAACACGCCGTCTGGCTTTTCTTGCTATTGATTAGTTATATCCTATATAAATGATGTTTGGGTTCTTCACACCAGCCTTCTTAGAGACGAGTCAATTAGAGATGTGTGTAAATTTTTTCTTATAAACTAAATTTTCCAGTCAGCCACCATTTTTGAACAATACATATATGACACTGACAATGTATTTATAATATAGACAGACAGCATTTATTAAATGAAGTACGTGGTAAAAGTGCTTAATCTTTTCAAGATAATGCAGTTTTTGTTTGTTTGTTTGTTTGTTTGTTTAACCTATAGTTCTAATCAATGAAAATATGCTATATTTGTATAGGGGTTCTGTTTTGTCATTACACACTGAAGACAACAGTTTCTTAATTATATATTTAAAAAAAGAAAGAACAAGCAGTACACAATAAGTGTTTTTCAAAATATAGCCTATGAAAATGGTCAATAATACAATCATATTCTTTCAGGTTCTCCAAAAGCTTGGCAAGGCAGATGAGACTAAAGATCTGGCATTTGAAGAGGGTGTGATTAATTTTAACAAACAGCTGGTGAGTGTTTTTCTAATCGTGCTCTTAATTCATTAATTATTTTTTTATTATAAAGCAGTATAAGGGGATTTTTTGGTATTATGCCTTTGGTCTATGACTGTGTCTCACTTTAGTGTCATGTGCTCACATAGGTGGAAGGTACCAAACTGCAGAAAGACCTTCGGGCCTATTTGACTGCAGTAAAAAGTGAGATTATCAATTGATAAAATTACAGACTTAAAATGAACATAAATTGAATGTGTTGTTTTCTTACCCTTGCTGATCCCTTTCTCATGGTTTCCCCCAGCCATGCATGAATCTTCTAGACGTCTGTACGAGTGCCTGGATGACATGTATGAGAATGATTGGTATGGAAGAAAGGATGTGGACTCCATCTGTGAGGTTATTGTTTTATTAAGTCCTTTTTTTAGTAAAAATGTATTTACACATTTATAGTAATTCAGGTCATTCATCTCAGGAAATGTGCTGTGAGCAAAGTATACATTTAGACAAAAAACTTTGGAAAGAATAATCCAAATAATAAATCAGATATTTAAGTTTAAATGTTGGAAAATGGCAAAAAACTATTTAAGACATCCTGCACAATCCAAAAAATTATAATATAGTAATGATAATAAAATATAAATAATTAAACAAACAAATAAACTAAAGTACACACAAGTAAACAAAGCTGCACAAGGGGCATAGAAAGCTACAAGACAGTCAATTTTCTCAGGAAATTTCATTGCCTAATATTTTTTTTAAAGTTTTTGATAAATATCTCATGCTCCTTAAGGATGCAATTCTTTGGTTAAAAATGCAGTTAAAGTAGTAGTATTGGGAAATATTATTACAATTTAAAATTACTGTGTGCAATTTGAATATATTATAAAATATTAATGTAAATAAAAGGAAAGGAATTTTCAGCAGCCATTCCTCTTCAGTCTTCAGTGTCACATGATCATTCAGAAATCATTCTAATATGCTGATTTGTTGCAACAATTCTTCTTATTATAATTTTTATAAACAGTACTTGTTTTAATTTTAATAAAAGTGTAATTTCTGCATCCATTGTAAATGTCTTGCATGTCTACCATTTTAATTTGATTACTTTTTATTTGATTGTCTTCTTTGAAAAGAATATTAGGAGTAAGGAAACAGATATGGGAGGTAATTCACTATAAATTAGGTTTAGACCCATCTACATCTCCATTAATTGTTTAGTCTCTAGTTTATAAACATGTAAATAGTTTTTTAGCTCAGTAACTGCAAGAAACCGCACAAATAGTGATACTAGATTTAGCTTAACTAGTTTTATAACTGATCCCGCTGCTCTTTTGTTGTCTCTATAGATACTGTAGTGCTTGTCCGTGTGAATGTGTTGGTGTTCAACTAAATGTATTTAAGATGGTTTTGAACCATTCTGATCTTTTGTGTCCATTGTTGTCTGCATAACAGGATTCAGACCTTCTTTGGACAGACTTCCATCAGAAACTTGTGGATCATGCGCTTATATCCATGGACACCTACCTGGGCCAGTTTCCTGACATCAGAGTACTAAGATCCCATGATGATGTTGTGGTTAGCTAGCATACCATGCTGTGAATTTCCATTTAATATATGTAAAATAAAATTCTTTCTAGGCCCGTATTGCGAAGCGTGACAGGAAGCTGGTGGACTTTGACAGCGCACGGCACAACTTTGCTGCGGTAAACAAAGGCAAGAAAGGAAAGGAGGGGATTAAGATCACCAAGGTATAGTTATTTATTTTTCAAGAATGTTTTCAATGCCAAAAAATTAAGGGAAAAAAAATCCAAGGCATTTATTTTCGATTTTTCTCACTTGTTTTGTATATAGCCGGCTTCCTTGCTGGAGAGAGCCGCCCCGGGTTGGGCTCAGGGGATCCTGTCCGCCCATAACGTAGCTCAGACCAGCCTCTCCAGGAGTCAGGTGACACTATAACTAATGCTACTTTATTCTGAGCTGTGAAAAGAGCTAGCCGGTATTTTGATTCCCTCTTTTTCATTAAAAAGGACAATATCGTCTTGCCAGACCAACACAAATAAGAATTTTGTTCTCGTCTAGTTAGATAAAGATAAAATGAAATGAAATTCCATGCACATTTGGGCCAAATAAATGGCAAATCAAACAGGGTAGGTGAGGCAATTCATCATGTTTGATTTAGCTGTATTCAGGTCAATCTATTTCAATAGCGAAAGCCTTGTGGATGAATAAGATTGTTAACTACAGTATATGTCATGCTTTGATGTAATTTTATGTGTTTATAGGCAGAGGAAGAGCTGGAAAGGGCACAGAAGGTGTTTGACGAAATTAATATAGATTTGCAGGAGGAACTTCCATCTCTGTGGAACAGGTGTGGATTTATTACTGTTTTACTCTCACAGATCTTCTCTGGGTTTTCTGTCACAGACAGCTGTGGTCACGATAGACTTTGAGCACACAGAATTTCTACAGACACTTCTACTGCCGTGATATGACATCACACTCTGGTGTACATAAAATAATAAGTCCAGACATGTTTCCCATTTGTTTAGTCATTTGCATCAGACATTAGCCAACGGTCCATGGGCATGACGTCTGAGACTAGGAAGAACCTGTCTGATCGTCATGGAAAACAACCTACATCAGGACTGCGTTTCACAAAAGCATCGTAAGCCCAAGTAGAACAATTGCCACCAAAGGGCTCTACGATCAACTTAGGCATACGATGCTTTTGGGAACAGCCCAGATAATTTTCTTTATTTTTAAATTATCGGAAGAAGATGGATGGATGGATGGATGGATGGATGGATGGCAGATAAATGTAAAATCGAGGCAACCCCAGTAATAGACTGGTGTTCAACAGCGCAATCTGTTTTATCTGTTAATCTGTTTTTTAATGAGTGAGTTTAATTACTAATAGTTAATGCCTCAAAAAAAATTTTGAACATCTTTCACAGATTCACTGATATGAACCTTTTTGGCACTTTGGATAATTCAGTACCTGTACACCTTGCTTCACGGAAATTATGTTGAAGCCTGACGATTTGATTGGCTCTTGTCATTTTTGTCTGCAATATGCACCAGATTGGTTGTAAATGGCCCATGGGTGTATCATCTTAGACTAAGATATGTTGTCATCTTATGGGGGCTGAAATTGTGTCTGCTCTCTTCCAGTCGTGTTGGCTTTTATGTGAATACATTCCAGAGTGTGGCTGGTCTGGAGGAGAAGTTTCACAGAGAAATGGGAAAAGTAAGGAATCTAGTTCAACACCTTCCAATGACAGAACATTATGGTTATGTTTTGTGTATAACTTTTTAACATTATAATATATTTAATATATAAATAGTTTTATAGTTTAGTTTTATGTCACTTGATTCTTCAGAAATCATTCTAACATGCTGATTTGCTGCTCAAGAAACATTTCTTATTATTATCAATGTTGAAACGGCTTAGTATTTTTGTGGAAACTGACACATTTTCTTCAGTATTCTTTGAAAGTTTCTCTCTCTCTCTCTCTCTCTCTCTCTCTCTCTCTATCTATCTATCTCTCCCTATGTATGTATATATATATATATATATATATATATATATATATTATCTAGTAAAAATGTAATAGTGATTATAGTGAAATATGAAGAAAAACTTCTGTATTTCAAAAGATGTTTATTTTCAATTTAATCATTTTTTTCCTAACAGATCAATCAGAATCTGAATGATACACTGGTTAAATTAGAAAATCAAGATATGTCCAGGTCAGTCAAGTTTATATAATGCAATATACATAAAGTTTCATTGAGAAGCACAGAGCTGTATTTACAGTACTTTTTTTTTTACACATGATGGTTCATTTTTGTCCATTTTCCATCAAAACGGTCTCTAAACAATAATTAGTATTGGTATAATTACACTCTATACCGTTTATATACAATTAAATTAATGAACAAACCACAACACCACTCTCACAGAAAAACAGGTAGCCAAGGGGTGAGGACATCAACAGCCCAGAAGAGGTAACAGCGGTAGCCCTACAGTGCTGTGTGTTTAAGGGTTTGTGTGTGTGTCGCTGCATTTCGTCTTACTTAAGCTTTTTGCGTGCCTTCAAGTGTAGCCATTTCCAGCAACAGTTTTGCATTTTGCAACTATGTGTTTCAGATGATGCCTTCACAGTACATTTGAGTTCACTGCATGAGCAGAATGATTTTGCACAGGAAGCAACTGCGTCTAAGTCTGCATGAATAAATGTTGCAATTGATACTATTGATTCCAGTGTAATTACACTGTCAGTTCTGCCATGGAAGTATCCCAGACAGACTTTTGGCCACACTGGTCATCTAGGGCTTGTAGTGCGAAGCCTTTGTTCTTGGATTGAGCCTAATGAAAGATGAGCTCATCATAGCCATGTGTCTGTACTGAGATCATTCTCTGAACTTTTAGCTCCAGTGAAAGAACACAAGATGCCAATCACACTTTGAGCCCAGGAGGACCGCCAGCCATTCCCAAATCTCCGTCTAAGGTACTTTATGCATTTAGAAATCACCATGGTTTTTGTATTTGCAGTGTACGATAATTCTGCTGACACCTGTAAACAATATTGCAGGGATTTCGCATCTCTCTTTTTGTTAGCATCAGTGACACTGGTCAAACATATTTCTTATTTATGTGTGTTTCCAGTTAAAGCCAGCTGTCCCTCCGCCTCCTAAAGCTACTCCATCTAAGGATCTGAAGCAGGAGAGCATTATTAATCTATTTGGTGAGGCTGCCACTCCGAACATCAGTGTCACTTCGCCAACACAGGTCAGCAGTAATTTCTTCTTTTGTAATCCTCGTCTCCAGGATAATATTGCTACATATGATGGTATCATGTGAAGACTAGCTGTCAATTCATGAGGTGGATGTTGAATTTGAGTTGGAATGACAGACAAAACTTAAATTCAATAAATGTTGATGGTATAAAGAAAATGGGCAACATTAGGTCACTTATCAGGTGTTCTTTTAAAAGGTTTCCAGCTTGTAGCTTGCTTGATGTGTGGCTCCACTTTGAAGACTTTAGGGTAAATTTGGAAATGTTCATCCATCATGGTTGACCTTGATAAAATGAAAGTTATTTTACAATGCAAGGATGCACTAGTCCTCAGCATCTAGTGAGAGACATGCCAGTGGAAAACAAGAAACAGTTTATTTGTGAAGAGAACAATCACATGATTAACCTATAACTGAAACCTCAATATTATAATAAATCAAGGTTGACAAGTCTCAGTTAAGCATAAGTGCTCGGAAAGGGCATAAGTAAACCAATATACTTCAAAAAGGTATCTTCATCATTAATGATAAATAAAATAATGTTGGGTAAAATTAAATAGTCAAAGCCTAGTTGCACTGGACACTTCACAACTACCTGCTAATGCTTTTGCCTAAAGTAGCCATGTTGACTAGATTGGGTGAACAAGGGCAAAACACACAAGATACAGTACCTTCAATGCCCTCATAACAAATGTTTTGGAGTAAAGAGTATGTTGTACATATACTTATTCAAAAATGTAGGCCTAGTCAAGAGTAAAAGTTGCTAATATTGATATTCAGTCAAACTACAAAGTAGCCAATAATCTACTTAATTACAGTAACAAATTACATTTACTCAAATATTTTACACCCTTTACACCACTGCAGTATGATGCCCCAGCCACTGCTAATCTGCTGGATATGGATCTGGACTCGCTTCAGGCCGCCACCACCCCAGCCGCACAGGTCTGACAGAACAGCTTGTAGATTTAGCGTCGTATATATATATATATATATATATATATATATATATATATATATATATATATATATATATATATATATATGTTGCGTATAGCGTAGATATATGTTGTAGTACTCAAGTTCAGAAAAGACCGGACTCGGACTAGTCGGACTAGTCGAGACCAGCTTATTTTAAGTCTGAGTCCAGATCAATTCCAAAAGCTCTAAAAAATATGGTCTTATCCAGATTTAAGTACTATAACACTGTCTTAGAGTATATTTCATGCATTACAATGTCTTTGTTACAATGTAAGTATATGTCTGCAATGGAACTTCAGTGTAAATGCTTCTTAAATGGACAAATCAATTTAATCCAGTCATTAATTTTGCTTTATCTGTGTGTGTGTGTGTGTGTGTGTGCACATTTTGACAGAATTGGGATCCATGGGAGGTGAGTGTGCTTTTGATTGCTTACTAAAATTTGTAGTGTATACCAGCATGTATAACCTTTCCTTTTAATTCAGACAGAGTCTTAAAGGGTTAGTTCACCCCAAAATAAAAATTCTGTCAGCAATTACTCACCCTCATGTTGTTCCAACCCCGTAAGACTTTCGTAAGACACAAATGAAGATATTTTTGATTAAATCTGAGAGCTGGATCACTCCTCCATAGGGATCGAAGCTGGCCGGCCCATAAAAGTTAAAGACATTGTTAAAATAGTCCAAGTGACTACAGTGGCTCAATCTTATTAATCTTATTAATCTATTTTAAAGATGTCTTTAACTTTCATGGGCCGGTCAGTTTTGATCCCTTAAGAAACCTATGGAGGAGTGATCCAGGTCTCAGATTTAATCAAAAATATCTTCATTTGTGTTCCAAAGATGAACGAAAGGCTTACAGGGTTGGAACTACATGAGGGTGAGTAATTACAGACAGAATTTTCATTTTGGGGTGAACTAACCCTTTAAGCAACTTATTTAGCTATTTCTGAAAGCCATTTCATTTACAGTAGTATATTTAATTGTAAGGGAAATGAATCTGCCTTTGGCAGACAGTTGCGAAACAGCTATTCCATTAAATTTCCTTTCACTCTTAAGCTTTCTTAAGTCTGTCTGTCCTGCTTTAACTGTCCATGATATTAATGTTGCACATCCCACATCATAGTGTGTTCGGCTGAAGAAATGTGTGTTTTACACTCTCTCTGGCTCCTCATTCTTTCTTCACTCTGGTCATGCTTTACCCGGCTCCCACATGCCCCCTTCCCACCATTCCCCTCACTGCCCTACTTACCCACCCCCCTGCCACATATAGCATACAGAGAATGAAGCCGAGGTACCTCAGACATGGGACGATGATGGTCCTCAGACTGTGCACTCTGGCTGGGGTGATGATGGTACCCAGGCTACCTGGGATGATGATGGTAGCCAACCTGTGCATGCTCCGGCCACATTCCCCACCTGGAATGATGATGAAGGCTCTCAGCCTGTGCAGGGGAATGACATTGATTCTACCCAGCAGGCCGAGGGGTGGGACGAGGATGGGGCTCAGGTACAAATTTCATAGAGCTAGCTGACAGGAGCTGAGCTGCGCTGTACTGAGGTCCTGCTGCTGTAGGCATCACTGGATGGGAACGAGAAGATGCTTAGCATGGCAATTGGGAGAATGCTGGTTGCAGCGCTAGTAGTAGTAGTAGTAGTAACTGCTTCAACTGGGCTTGATATGTTATGAGAATAGCTGTGTAATTGGCATCTTTTTGTTCTCTCTTTCAATTCTCGGCTCTCCCTTGGTATTTCTACCTTTCATTCTTCTATATATTGGGCCTCTTCTTCTTTATCTCCTGGTCTTTCCTTTTTGCAGGCCACAGAACAGGCAGTTGTTACAGAAGAGACAGTAGCCGAAACTGTAAGTGATGTAAGTGAATAAAATAAAGCACAGCATATGGATTGCAAAATAGTCACAAAAGTCTGATAATGAAACACAAAGCAAGAGACTAAAGGACAAACAGGAATACTATAGGTGACCCAAAATTTGCGGCAACATACACTACTGTTCAAAGGTTCGCAATCAACAAAAATGTATACTTTTATTCAGCAGTGGTACATTAAACTGATCTAAAGTGACAGTAAAGACATTTTTAATGTTGCAAAATATTTCTGTTTCAAATAATTGCTGTTCAGGAGCAAATAATCCTGAAATACATCATGGTTTACACCTAAATTTTAAGCAGCAATACTGTTTTAAACATTGATAATAATAAGAAATGTTTCTTGAACATCAATTGAGCTTAGAATGATTTCTGTTCAAGTGTATTTAAATGGAGAGCTGTAATTTCAAATTGTAATAATATTTTCCCAATATTAATGTTTTTGATGAAATAAATGCAGCCCTGGTGAGCCTTCTTTCAAAAACATAAATAAATCTTTCTGTCAGAGACATAAAAAAGTGCTCCCGAGTTCGAGTCCCAGCTCGAGGTCCTTTCCCAGTCCAATTCCCCTTTCTCGTCTCCAATGATTTCCTGTCTGTCCTTCTACTGTCCTATCTGAATAAAAAAAAGCCTGTAAAAAAAAAAAATCTTTCCGACCCCAATCTTTTGAACAGTAGTGCATGCTGATAATCAGGTGAGGGCTCCCTCTGGTGGACCGATGGAGTAGCTGCAGACTCCACCATCTGACCTAAAGACATAAAATGGTACATTAGGGGCTCTTAAGCGTGTCAGGCACTAAGTTCAGCACCTTTCTTGTTTTGATGGTAATAATTCATATAATGCGATGAAAACTATACATATATGTCTTTGCTTACAGACTGCAACAGCAGCCACAGAGAGCACAGAGAATGTAGAGATGCCAGAAGCCTTCCTGTTCAAAGTGAGTGCAAAATGATGTTTTAATTAAACTAGCAATGGTTTGTTAATCTGAATTTTAAGCTGAAGAAGTGAGACATGTATTTGTGTGAATGCAGGTGAAAGCAATGCATGACTACAATGCCAATGACTCGGATGAGTTGGAGATGAAGGCAGGAGATGTGGTGCTGGTAGTGAGCTTTGAAAATCCAGAGGAGCAGGTTCGTGTAGTTGTTTATTTTGTGATCTCAGTGGTGTTAGTTATGATCACCTAACTGACTTTGTGCGCTTACAGGATGAAGGGTGGTTGATGGGAGTCAAAGAGTCTGACTGGATTCTGCATAAAGATCTTGAGAAAAAGGGAGTCTTTCCTGAAAACTTCACCCAGAGGATGTGAGCGCTTGTGATCAGCTTGATCTGTGACACTGTTTCCCCCATCTATATTACTCCTTTTTGCTTCCTTTGAAAATGCAGACCAGAAAAACTACTATACCAACAAATGCACCGCCACAGGCAATCAGCTGGTTATGTTTGTGGAAGTTGTTGACAGGTTAGTCAGTGCATTGTTTTGAGTGTCCTCACTCATATTTGTCATGCTTTGAATATGATTGGATCCACCTTTGACAAAATAAGTGATAGTATTTTTTTCTAGCCTTTTCTAATTGAGGGAGTAACATACCCAAAGTAAGTCCTTGCTGTAAATGTTTTTAGACTAGCCACACTTAACCATTGTCCCGTTTTGAGTGAAAAAGTTTTAAGTCATATCTCATGAGCTCACAAACTGGTGAACGAAACAGATAGTCTGATACTGAGGACTATTTGAGCTGCATGGTATATAATTATGTCACTGGTGGAAACAAACAGTATTTCTTTTAAAATGGTGAATACCCTATCAATGATGTGTTCTAAGAATGTTTTGTTAATGTTCCCGTATATATTACATGATATATATATATATATATACTGTACTGTGTATATATATATATATATACAGTAAATTCTTTCATATATTCTTGGTTATGCCAACATTAAGGGAACATTCTGGGAACATTTCATAACAATAAAAACTAGTAACTAGTATAACATTTTAAAAAAAAAACATTAGATGAATGATATAAAAATAAAGTTTTTGTGCTAATGTTTTAGAACATTATTAAGTATCAGAAAACTTTGAAAAAACATTCTGTTAACGTAAATGGAAAAATGTTCGTTCATAACTTTGAGAGAACTTTCCAGAAAGTTCTGAGAATGTTCCCTGTTAACTAGGTAATTGTTTCCATTTCTTCACGGGAATGGAGTTTGACTGCTCTGTCAAATATCTACCAGCACCATTTCTGCATGTTTAAATCAGGAACAAACTAAAAAGTACAAATAAATCAGACTAATATAGTTAAAGGAGTATTAAGAAACAAAAACCATATGCACTCGTTCCATATGCAGTTAATGTTGACACCAACAAGGCTGATGTATTTAACCCCAGACTCTTGCTCAGGTTGTATGTTAATGAACCTGTGTGCTGTTTCTGACCCTTAGCTTTACTGTATACACGATATATCACTGTCAGTGTCCACAGATGTTTTTGATAAAGCCATTTCCGATATTAATATTTGATTAATAGTTCACTGTGCAAACGCAGTCATACACATGATTTGTCTCGGTCATTTACTTGTAGTAAAAATTGCGGTTTATATTCCGTGAAGGAGAATTTCTTAACATGTAATGCAATAAGCTCTGCACAGATTTTTAATTCTTTATTAATTGTATTCATAGACGTGTCGGACGTTTTGGCAAAGTGTGGATATTATTAATGCTCACTTGTGTGAGTTTTAATAAAGTGCAACATGCGAAAGTGACTCAAAATATGCATAATATGACTTCAATCCACTTACAGTACACTGTATTTATAGTTTTATTTTTGTAAATTGTGTGACAAATGCGAGTTAAAATTATTCCATGTGCCATGATCGCTGGCTTATATACTGGGGTCTTTCTCAGTGTTGTAAACTCTGGTCTTTTCATGTCTGATCAGAACTGACCATCCATCCCTACTGTAGCAACAAGAGGTTTAGTGCATCTGAGGTTATGAACTTTGATAAGGACCGAACTTAAGTTGGTATGGCAGAGATATTGATTCTCCAGTCATCTGTTGCGCTGAATAAGAACTTGTTTGCTCTTTGTTTGGTTTGTTTGTTACTTCTGATCTCTTTCTCTTATTGGACGTGTCATGTGACCCAAGCTTTCGGGGGAGTTCTTGCCACGCTTCTGCAGTTTTGAAGCAAGTGTGTGTTTGCTTTTTGTACCCTGTACTAAGAAATCAAATGTGATCTGTATAGAGACTGATTACTGAGTTATTCAAGCTGCCAATGCATCTTTAATGACCTCTCGCTCAAGCTCTTAATTAAAGCGAAAGTCCCCAGAATGAGTGGACAAACACTTCCTCCTCCTGTATTTGAGCACAGTTAGGATATTTGCTAGCGTTGTTGCATTTGTAGCCGTGAACATTGTGTAGTTTTGTTGGGTTTCGTCACTAAAGATACAGATTCTTTGAACATATCTATATATGTAATTAGTGTGAATGTGAAAGAGGCATGCTTAAATCCATGAGCAGTGTGTCTGTGTGTAGTGACTTGATGTTTTCTTGCTGAGGTGGCCTGGGAAACCAGGGTCACTTTATGCCACTGTAAGCCATGAGTGTATCATTCTACAGTCCTGTATCCTGCTGACTCACCCTATGCTAATAAACATGGATTTAATCCTGTAACTTTTCCACTGTTTGGTCCTGTTCACCTTGCTGCAAAACATGTGCTTCTGCACAGCACTTCTGTAAGGTTTAAAATGTACATTAGAGTACAACTTTTATTATTTTCATTATTGTTATTTGTTAATAAACATAGTGTACTCGTTTCAAGTACACTTAAATGTCCTTTTTTTAATTTTATTTATATTATATTATCTGCAAGTACAGTTTTTTTCAAGTATACTTTTAATATTTGAAGTACCTTACAAATGCACAATACAGTTCTTTTTCACAAGGGTATATTTAACAGTGGATTTACAGTGGCAAGCATAATCACTCATTTTCTCCTGAGGCCATATCAGCTTCCCAAGCAAAGCTGTTGCAATAATCCCATTTGTTATTTTAAGTCAATATGAAGATAATGATTAAAAGAAGTAATGCTGATTTAAAACTGCATGTTGCATAACTGAGTCAAAGGCCATCATATGAGGAGGAAGAGGTAAGACAAGAGAGGAGAAAGCTAACATTGTAAACAGTGGCGGGCCAAATAGCATTTTAAGGAAAGACGGAGAAGGAAAGAAAGTCAGAAACGATGGTAAGGACTGATAGATGTAAGAAACTGTGTACATGTAAAGAGAAACCTTTGGACCCGGAAAAGCCTGGAGGAATGGAAAGAATAGACGTGGATTGCAGTCCTTCTTTATTGCTGAATATTGCCCTTGCTCTGCAAGTAAGTATTTTTTTAAATGAGATTTCTTTTACAAGTTGATAACATCATATAACACTAGAGTAGAATAAAGCACTTTAATTCCTGCCTGGATGGAAAAAAAAAATATGTTTTTAAACCTGATGTCATCCTTGAGTTCTTTTGGCAATTCGAGAACCTACTGTCATATTTAATAAATGCTGACATTTTAAAGTCATAACCTACTACAACTAAAGTGAACATAGCAAAAAGTCTAAAAAGAGTAAAAGTCTGTTTTCCCCCCTCTATCTCCATACAGCATGTGTTGGTGTTGTCCTCTCTGTGTGCATTGGTTGTGAGTGCACTAATTCAGGACGTAGACAAGGAAAGAATAGTGGCCCATGTACTCTTTTACTCGGGTGTAGCTACACTACTGCAGAGCTGGATTGGATCACGGTATGGTTACATTTACCCATATTGCTTTGCATTTAAGTTGATACAGTTGTACTACAGTACAAAACAATCTATAGGATTAAGTCCAAGGTTTCCTCTGTTCTCAGTTTGCCATTGATCCAGGCTCCATCTTTGGACTTTCTGATCCCTGCCCTAGTGCTGCTTTCTACTCAGTCAGGTCAGAATGGTTCTGGCCAGAATTAAAATTAAGTCTAACAATCTAACCAACTAAACATACTAACTTCCCCCAATTAAAGCTATAGAAATTACATTTTGTTTGTATATAGCACACTTGTACATTTAAATTCATAAAAAAAATATATATATATATTCACATATCTTTATTTTACGATCTGTGTACTGTTGATTCTGATTCTGTCTGATTCTGAAATCTGATTGCAATGGTAATGTGTGGTAGGGACTCCTATGGCCTGCAGAGGTCAGTGTATTGAAGCAGAGGAGCCTGTGGCCCCAGCACACCCAATAAGAGAGGTAGAGCACAGTGCTGTCCGTGGTGCTGAACATTCAGACCACCCCTCCATTGTCACACTGTTCTGCAGTAGTGCAGTAACTTCAGCTTGCACTTACCAAAAAGATTTCATTTATTTATTGATACATTAGTATTTTATCGTGAACCATTCATATCTCAATTTGTGTGTGTGTGTGTGTGTGTGTGTAGTTGAGAGGCATGACTCTGGTTGCAGGTATTGTGCAGTTCGCCGTGGGTTTCACTGGTCTGAGTGGGTTTGCATTGGGACATTGTGGACCATTAGTTCTGGCCCCTGTCCTTTGCATTTTGGGATTTTCCATCTACAGAGAGGCAGCGCTGCTTTGTTCTGACCATTGGGGCATGGCTACACTGTAAGGACACACTTAAATGTTAGTGGTACATAGTAGTCAAAGACACTTTAGTGGGTCCATTAAAGTTTTATTTTGTTTGTACTGCAGTCTAGGAAAGAAATAGCTGTGTATAATGTTATTAATTTGTAGTAAAACACATTTTTGAGTAATTGAACAATATAGAGATACACTGTATGTGATTATAAATAATTCAAGGTTAAATCAGAATAGTTGTGTTTATTTTTATGAACTCAATGTGCAACATGGATACACAGAGCACTCTAAATACATATCTTTCTTTTCCTTTTTTAGGGCAGTTATTCTTCTCATGATCCTCTCTCAGTATCTGCACTCCTTTCTGCGGCTGTCTGTGTTCTCTGTCTCCAGGAGACTCTCTGTGAGTTACAACAAGGGATGTTGCTCAAATTCAGAATGACTTAAAGGTGCAGTAAGCAATTTACTGAGAAACACGTTGACATTTGAAATCAACCCAAACAAACACACCCCTTGTTTCATTGCTCCAGCCCCAAAATTCATAAACACGCAATACAAGAATGGACGTCTCTTTATCATACCTGATTTGAAGCAAAATAATGCTTGAAATCAGTGAAGATGGTGAACGAACGACAAGGAAGAACAAAAAAATAAACATACAGTACACTAGAGTATATACAAGCAAGAATTTGTTGTTAATCGCCAGCAGCACACCAGCTCAAGATGAAAAAATGACACTAAGAACTGTCCTGTACAGTTAACATTACAACTACAGTGATATTCTTCCAGTGATATTACTTTGACCTTTTCTCTTTTGTAATGTCTCTCAGCAATCTCTCTTTCTACAGTCTTTCTTCAAATCTCCCTCTTGCTTACTCTCTCCTCCCCCATCATGAATGACACGCCCCCTACTGATGATTGGCTCACTCTTTCTCCTCCCCCACCGTGGCTAGACACGCCCTCTCACTGCTGATTGGCTCACTCTCTCTACTCCCCCACCATGGCTAGGCACACAATCTCACTGCTTATTGGCTCACTCTCTCTCCTACTCCATCATGAGTAGACACGCCCCCTGCAGCTGATTGGCTCACTCTCTCCTCCCCCATTATGAGTAGACACGCCCCCTACTGCTGATTAGCTACAACAAGTGTGTTGTGGCTCTCGGTTCGATCAAATTTCAGCGGAGTTTACCAGAAATCGCTTACTGCACCTTAAAGGCTGGAATGCACAACAAGTTTTTTCAAATCTGAACAGATTTTAAGACACTGGGCACCATACACCTAGTGACTTTGTAAAATGGTTACAGAGAAAAACTGGGCGTGCACTAAATGACTGAGGATCACACACTACCAGACTTTCAAGTCGCTCTGAAATCAACAAACGGATGCAGAAACACCATTCTAAAGTTGGTTCAAAATATCATACATGTTTGATATACTGTGTCTGGATGGATTCATAGTCTGTGCCCATCATACACTTTGCAATTTTCTGGGAAATGAAACCTGGCTCTGACTTTCGGCAACTAGCATCGACCTGTCCAGACTATACATCGGAGGGAAATTGAGGGCAAAATTCGTGTTGTGTATTCCAGCCTTTAGATTGACTTGGAGAGCCATTTCTTTGAGAGCCAATTCAAGTGTTTCTTCACTTTTAAAGTTGTGTGACTTTCCACAAAAGAGAAGTTTACTGTCTCTTTCAAAACCAGTGTAACATAGACACATTCACACACATGATATACTGTATGGGATTTCCTGCTGCACTGGTTGTCAAGCTCTTTTACCGCTTTTAACCTGCAGTATATTAGATTGATGTTTTGCCTGTAAGAAGATTATCTCATTGATCTGGGCAAAGTTTCCCACCAAAGAGGTGCGTTGTGTTACAGTGATCTTTGGCTAAAATGTTCTTAATTTAATATGGGACTGAATGTTGTCAAAGGTTATGGGAAACAGTTCTAGGCTTTTTATGAGTGATCGTAAGCTCGTATTGGAAACTTGCTTTTGGGAAATTCTTATTGGTTATTATTCTGTGCTGTGTCTGACTGTCTAGTTATTACTCTCAATTGAGTCCATGCAAATCTATTAATGTGGGGATGTTTGAGAGCAGCCACATCTAAAAATCTATGAATTTTAAGTATTTATTATTGTTAATTCATAAATATAAACGCTAATATTTGTTAGAAATTAACATGAACTTAAGATCGGAATATATCGAATATATATATAATATAATACAGATTTACACTACTGTTTAAAAGTTTGTGGTCAACACGATTTAAGGAAATTCATACTTTTATTCAGCAAGGACGCAATAAATTGATCAAAATTAACGTAAAGATATGTTATAATAAAATATTTCTGTTTTAAATCAGTTCTGTTATTTTAAACTTTTCATCAAAGAATACAGAATAAAAAAGTATAACAGTTAAAAATTAGGTAGCATAAACATTTCAATTTTTCAACATTGATAACAATAGTATGAAATGATATTTGAGCACCAAATCACCATATTAAGCATAATTCTCACCAAGGACCGTGTGACACTGAACACTGGAGTAATAATGCTGAAAATTCAGCATTTCCATCACAGGAATAAATTTCATTTAAAAATATATTCAAATATTTTAAATTAAATTTAGCATAAAGAGACTTATTTAAAAAAAAAAAAAAAAATATATATATATATATATATATATATATATATATATATATATATATATTTAAAAATGGACTGACTCCAATCTTTTGAACTGTAGAGTACATTGCATTCGATATAAAATGAAACTATGTGGCATCTGCAAATAAATGACTTTTTTCAGAACTTCAATACAGATATATTTACAATTAATTTCAACCATTTTTCTTTATGTAAATCAATGACATTCATGCACTAATGGGTCTAAATACTGTTGAGGTTATTGTATGAGGGTTCCTTATTATTAACAAATACAGTATATTGCTCCTGCTCTTTGTGTCCGTCCTGTGTAGGTACTTCTATCTGTGATGGTGAGCTGGGCCGTTTGTGCCGCACTGGTGCGGTGGGGTCACGTCCATCTTACCTCTGTGACCCAGATGTTCTCAACAATCAGAAACACCACCTTCATTCAGTCCACCAACAGTCCACACTCATCTGACTTTGTCTTTCCTAATGAATCTGTACCCTGGCTGGACTTTCCTCTTCCTGGTAATATGAAATATGCCTTTTCCTCTCTCCTTTTTTAGTTGCCTTGAAGGTTTTAACAGTGAACCAGTAATAATCTTTGTCATGAGTTCCAAATTTTCCTTCTTTTTAGATGTTTTTTTGTTTCTTGTATACTTTCAGCCTCAGTACTCCCTCTGCTGTCTGGAAAGAGCATTGCAGCAGGAGTGGCTGCAGGCTTGTCTGCAAGCATTAGCTCTCCAGCTGTGTACGTGATGGCAGCTCGGCTCCTAAAGGCTCCTGTGCCCCCAGCACATGCCTGTAACAGGGGCCTGTGTGTAGATGGCATGGGAAGTGTGATCGCTGGCCTGATGGGGGCGCCACTAGGACTGTGCAGCAGTGTGTCTAATGCATGTGTTATTGGGCTCAGCCAGGTAAGAGTCTACTGATGCATGTCACACCGGTATTGTGATTGGTACTTTTGCCTAAAATGATTAACTCTTTTGCTGTTTATTACAACATCTCTTAATTTATCCTTATGATGTGTTTTTTTCTCTCACAGTCTGGGTCCCGGAGCACAGTGCAGCTGGCCGGGGTGTTGTTGTTAATTCTGGGTGTGTCTCCTCAATTAGCGCAGATGCTCTGCTCTGTCCCTCTGGCCATACATGGTGATTATTCATTTATAGTTTACTCAATTAAATGGTAAATGTTGCTGGTAACAATCAGGGGTGCGTTTCCCAAAAGCATCGTTAGCCAACTCTGGTTGCAAGTTCCGTCGTTATCAGCAGTTCAACGAGTGTGTGTTTTCGAGCGAACATTCGAAACAGCATCGCAAAGTTGAGTGGTTGAAATGACAGATCTCTCGACCTACGGTTTGAATAATTGTTTCTTGTTTGCATGGCATGTGGACTCAATGAATCCTTATCTTGAGCCAAGTAAGTAAGTTGACATTCATTACAATCTATATCTTATATTTAGTATACATACAAATGTCATTTAAGTCTTCAAGTTTGTCAAGTGTCTTTTTTGAAGAGTGCGCATGTGCGAACGTGCTCTACTAAGAACGAGCCTATGATTGAATCTGGAAATAAAGCAAAATAACTGAGAAAAATATTAGAAATAGACCTCAGATGCCATATCTGTATTTTATAGCAAAACATCTAGCATTAATTCGATCTCAAACAGATTTATTAAAAGTAGTTATTACTCCACCACCTGTGACATCATTAAGTTAGATCATTTTTTAGAAGTTCAGATCTTATCTTTCATGTAGTGTGTAATATAGCTGGTGGTGAATGTAAAAGCTTTGCAGAGTTTCAAAGATGACAGCGAACGATAAATGTTATTCTCTCCCAAAAGAAAGAACCGATTCTGAAACGAGTCGTCAATAATTCCATGAACCAACATAGGTTTGTTAGAAATTTGCACTATGCCTTATGGCCTTATTAAGCTTGTGGACATCTTTGGCAGCCCATGAACAAAATCTACCTTGACTCTGAAACACTGAAGTTGTAGTTGAGGCCTGGAAGAGTTTAGCTGGTGTTGTCAACGACATCGAGAAGAACTGAAATTGTGTCCGACACACGCTGTAAGAAGTAGACCAATCACAACAGAGTGGGCCATCTGGCCAATCAGAGCAGAGTAGGATCTCGGAAAGGAGGGGTTAAGAGGGACTGAATCTTTTATCTAACCGTTTCAGACACTATGAGAAAAGAGCTGGTGCTAAGAAAAATTCAAGCGTTTTTTTGACCTTGGGTGCATGTAAACGTATTGTAGGAGACCTCCAAAACAAAATTATACCTTTAAAAAAAGCATAGTTTTGGACTTTAATAGCTGTCTGATATATGACTTTAAAAGCGTGGGCTGAATGTTTGCTTGTGTTCTCTCAGGTGCTGTGCTCAGTGTGACCTACGCACTTGCTGTAGCAACAGGCATAGCTTATTTACAACATGCTGACGTGGATTCAGGACGCAACATTTTCAACATCGGCTTCACAATGTTCATGTCATTAGCACTGCCACGCTGGTTCAGACTTCACCACAGTTTTATACAAACAGGTGCTAAAACCAAAAGAGTGTTTTCCTCTACTGTGTGTAGTGTATTGTTACTCCTAATTTATAGTTGTTGATTTGGACATTTAATTGAAAGAATTGTCATCTTCTTCTGTTCAGGTGTTGCCAGTGTTGACGTTCTTCTTCAGTCTCTTGTAACCTTGCCGGTTTTCTTTGTGGGGGTTTTGGCTTTTCTTCTAGAGCACACGGTTTCAGGTAAAACAACAGAGAAATGCACTATTCAAAAGATTGGGGTTGGTACAATTTTTGGAAGTCTCTTAAGCTCACCAAGGCTGCATTTATTTGATCAAAAACACAATGAGTACAGTAATATTATGAAATATTATTACAATTTAAAATGCGTTTTATTCCTTTTCAGTCTTCAGTGTCACATGATCCTTCAGAAATCATTCTAATATGCTGATTTGGTTCTCAAGATACATTCAATTTGATGCATAAAAGTACACATTTCTTTCAAAACGGTAGGGTGCATTTTCAGGAAAAAAAGCATATTTTTTGTCATTCAGGGACTTTGTCTGAGAGGGGTTTGGCTAGACATGACGGCACAAAGAAGATTCTGTCACTCGCTGATCAGGGATTCAGCCCAAGTCCAGACGCCATGTACGACCCGCCTCGGCCTGTGATGAAAGTGCTGGAGCTGACGGGCTTCAGGACCGTCCTCTTCTGTGCCTGCAGAAGCCCAACTGTTGAAGAGGTGCTGGTGACAGTACCAGAGATGTCTAGCTTATTACCTGACAAGGACGCCCGTGTTGGCAGTGGCTGAATTCTTGCAGTTCAGTCCATATTTTATTTTAGTTTTCAAATTGTATTTAACTTGTCTCTTTCTGGATTGCTTTTTATAAATTGTATTACGTTTATGACTGGTACAGTCTTCTATGACTCAAAGGCCCCCCACTGTCCAACACAACTTTTGATTAATTTATTTATTAAGTCATTTTTATTAAGTTAGATTGTTTAAACGTATTAATAATATGTTAATTTGGCATTCCCTGATTGAGAACCATGGTTTGTTCACACAACAATAAATTCTGTCATTACTCACCCTAATGTCGTTCAAACTTTTGTTCATCTTCAGAACACAAATGAAGAAATTGTTAATGAAATCTGAGCAATTTCTCTCCCTCCATTGAAAGCTACCACTTTGACGCGTTAAAAAAAAAAAATCATAAAGAGAACGTAAAACTAATCCATATGAGTTGAGCGGCTTAGTCCAAATTTTCTAAAGAGACTCGATCACTTTATATGATGAACATATTTAATTTAGGCTTTAATTTAGAATTAAGTTGCATACTGTAGCGGTCAATGGAGAGTACAGAAATGGCTAAGATTTTTATGAAAAATATCTTTGTGTTCCGAAGATCAATGGAATTCTTATGACATGAGGGCGAATAAATAATGACAAATTTTATTTTTTGGGTGAACTAACCCTTTAATACTTCTGAGAGCAGAGGAATTTTTGTCAAGACACTAAAGAAAAAGACCAAGGCAGATATTTCCATAATCTTTAATTCTGAAAAATAGATCTTTAAATAGTTTTACAAATATTATATAATTTCTGACATCTTTAAGTAAAATGTAAATAATGCCACAAAACAGATAAATACAGTAAGTTGTATGGGAAATACAATGAGTATTACTGCATGAAGCACACATAAGGACTACATAAACTCTAATAACATTGCTACACATTGCACAGAGTAAACTCTTAATTTCTTTGAAAGAAGCCTTCATAAAAGTACTCAAAACCCTTATGTATGCTAGATGGAGAAATACAGTGTACAATGTGACCATTAAATACTTGATTAAGTTGGGAAAGACACCTCTACCTTTACAGTGCGAAACATGTAACTGACCATGTGAATGAACGCAAAACTGTAATTATGCACCTCAAAGTATTTTCCTGATGTTTTAAAGGCCTAGTTTTAACCCAGTTGTAAAGTGGGTGTGTTTGTGTGTACCTTCCAGCCTCGTTTCTTTTCAAACACAACTTCCTCCTCCGTCTCAAACCTTATCAGGCCGCGTTGGTCTGATCTGATCGCCTGTGGTTGAGTCACTACATACCTGAGTAAAGAAAATTCATCTATAGTTTCCTCACTTCAATGGCTACAACTATGCGTTTAGTGAATGTGTATGTGAGTATAAGAGAGAAAGAGACTGAATAAGAGATTCTGAAAAGATGTGTGTGCGTCTTGGTATATTTGTGATAATGTTCCAGTGTAGGCAGTATAGTAAACCCATTGAAAAGTGTTAAATATGGGTTTTTAAGATCAATTTTGTCACGTCCATGTCCGCTTCCTCAAATGAGGGTTGACCCACAGAATAGCTGCATCCTTCTAGTTTTTCCAGGTTTCTAGTCTATTCAGGGTCATAAATGATTGGGTTCTTCCCTTCGTTTTTTTTTTTAGATCCTTTCAAAAACTTCATCTAGTGACATTCTCATTCCTCGTGCTTGTTTCATCTGTCATTGTCCATCATGCTCCAAGGATGGAAGTGTGTTGGATCCAGCACATGAGTCCCAACCCAGTGCAGCAGTGAAGAATACCAGTGTATCCCCACAGCCTGATGTCCAACTGGCCCTCCCCAGTTATAAAGTACCCTGAGTGGACCAAAAGCCCAGTGAGCTAGCCAGTGCTGGTCCACGGCCGCATAGCAGGAGGAGACGACGCTATTGACCACCACCGTGCCATGGCGGGTGAGCGGAGCGAAAACGCCCTTGTCCTCCTGTATTTGGATCCTAGTGACCCGAGACAGACGTCCCTGCTGTCCTGCTCCTCGTATGGAAACCACACACTGACCCGGCACCACGTCACTAGCAAATACAGATTTCAGCTCTGCACTCACTACAGGCCCTGAGCAGTTCCCTTCCGATACAAACAGGAGATGGGCCGCCGTCAAGCTCAGTTTAGCACCCGAGTCCGTCTCGATGGTGTAGAACTGCTTCTCTGCGGAAGGATCGCGGTCCAGGAAGGCGATGACTTCGCTGTAGACGAGCATCCCACTGCCGTCGCTTTCTGATGAAGCGAGGATTTTCTCTCCAGGCTGTAAGCGGTCCATGGTCTTCACGCTTCCATCCTCAATGGTGACAAGAGCCGATGCGGGGAAGCAACCGCCGGTTTTAGCAGCCACAGAGTTCTCTGAAATGCACATAGAGAGAATATAATGATTGAATCGAGCAGGTAAAATTGCGGTTTTCTCTAGTGCGACTCCTTGACGGCATACTGTATGTGTACAGTAGCCTAAGACAATTCCAAAGGTCATGTGTATATTAAAGATTGAGTTTGGGTCGTTTAAATGGCACAATGCCTTCTTCAGGTTAATCTTCAATCTTTAAAACGCACACACCCAAGCACAAACACATTCCCGCTCTCAATTGTAAACCCATAAAAATCCAATCAAACTTAAAGTTGCAGTGGCAAAATAACCTGGCGTGTGCAAGCAAACATTTCAAGCGCCATCCTTCAAGCTAATTCGTTTTTGCTTTTTCCCCGGTCAGTAGGTAAAAATGCAATAAAAGCTAATAAATAACCATCTCGGCTCTCTGTGACTCTTGTCCGAAACAAGTGACTGGGGTCTGGAGCTACGCAATGCACTACAAAAACCAGAATGAAGTCTCAAGTCTCGGTGGAGTCCTACACAAATATTTGGGAAGGGTAAGGACCAAGGCCAGGTGATAAGACAGACTGAGATAAGAGATCTGAGAAAGGGGACAACAGAGTTGCCGTCTGGAAAACAAAGGAGTTGGTTAATCATCTCACAGCACTTTGGCAGACAGGCCAACTTCTTAAGGCATATTCTCTATGTTTCTTATATACACATATACATATTTCCCTTATGCACTTCATAAATATATATGAGGTAAAAAATATGTATGTGTGTAATATATATGAACAGATTGTTTTGTTTATCTTTGAGTTTTGCTTCCTCTTGCTTTATGCAAGAATGTGATTTTTCAGGCACTTACTGTACATTAGTGGAAACATAAGAAATATATGATGTTTCTTTTCAGGTAAACTGCATATTTCTTATGTTTCTACTGAGGTCAGTGCCTGAAATCTGGCATGAACTGTCGAAGAAGCCAGCTGAAGAACACACCTATAGGACTTTGATAAAGCATAAGCAGACAAAAGGTCTTGCTTGTGTTTGCATGCTCTATCAGACAGATAACAGAAGTGCATCATGAATGTCCACACACGGGTCCCATTCCTCTCTAGCAGTGTTGAAATACTATAGAGACCCAAAATGAATCTCAATTTTGTTGTGCAAAAATAAATAAATAATGCAGGTCAAAAGAGAAACCTGCCAGAAGAGACAATAAAATACTATGGGTGCACTTCTACTTTCCTGGTTGTCTGGACATAATTTGGTCTCTGGTGACTCACTCAGGTAGAGGCAGGTGTTTAAGGTTTAATGATGTGGTCTGTTACCTGTACCTTCATCCCAGGTCTACCACTTATCTCACCTAAGTTAATGAGAACTGACCAACTTAACCACAAAAGGACACACCTGGTTTAACTGCACACTGAACGCACATGAACCTTTCAGTCAGGAGTCTCTTTATAGTTAAAACATCATATCAGACTGGACGCTTTTCTACCTTCAGTCATAAACCTGATTAAAAATCCAGATCATATTCCAAGTTTAACCAATTAGATGTGTGTAGATGTTGCTTAATAATGAAAACTACTCAAGTTAAATGAGGTCCACGGCTGAATGTGAAATATTATTCTACACTCGTGTGCTTTTCATATGCCATAGAAGAACCATTATCGGTTCCCCAAAGAAGCTTTCAGTGAAGAGTTCTTGAAATAACTATTTTTTTTTTCTTCAATAAAACAACCCTTTTCCTCTATAAAGGACCTTTTGTGCATTGGAAAGTTTCCATGGATGTTAAAGAAAGAGTTCAAAATGAAAATAGGGTCATCATTTACTCTCAAAACTATGAATTTCTTTCCTCTGCTATACACAAAATCTGATATTTTGAAGAATGTCGGTAACCAAACAGCTGATGGACCCCATTGACTTCCATAGTATTTTGGAAGTCAATGGGCTCCATCAACTGTCTGGTTACCGACATTCTTCAAAATATCCTCATTTGTGTTCAGCAGAAGAAAGAAGTTCATACATTTTTTAAACAACTTGAGGGTGAGTAAATTATGACCGAATGTGAACTATTTTAAAGTTTCTTCATGGAACCATCAATGTCAATATAGAACTGAGTGAATAGTACATTGGAATTACATATTTGCATTATGGTTCAGTGGCATATAGTTGTAATGTAAATAAATGTGATTTCCATAGTCTCAGCCCTACCTGACTTGACGCTGCAGTGGATGTGAGCTTTGGACTCATAGTAGACCCAATCAAACCCGGCCTCCACCGCTAGACGTGCCAACATGCCATATTTACTACGGTCGCGATCTGAGGTGGTGATATCGACAGCTCTTCCTTCATAATGCAGTGACTCTTCAAAGTGATTGCCGTCTTCATCCCAACCCTCGGTCACCCTGAGCTTCACCCCGGGCCACATGTTCATCACAGAGATAGCCAGAGAGTTCAGCTTATCTTTACAACGCTGTGAACGCAACAAGGAAAGAGGTTTAGACCTGGGTTACACAAGTGGAAGATGATGGCGTGGAGTTTTGCAAGAAATACGCAAACAAGACAAGTTATAACTCCAAAGGGCAAAACAGACTGAATGACAAAAAAACATACATCACAGGGCAAAGACAAAACAGAGGAAGAATTGATACAAATGACACTGAGTGCTGTAAAATCAGAACACATTATTCAGAGCTATTCAAATGATACTGTAAATGGTATAAATCTATTTTGATCCTTTTAAGTTACTTTTTAGATACTATCATGAGTATACTGTATGTTTATGCTGTTTTGTGTCTTCCATGCAAAACTTTATTTCCACAGTATTCTTTCCAGCAAATTTGCTTTCCTAAATAAATTAGCATTTGTGCATATATATATATATATATATATATATATATATATATATATATATACTAATTTCTGTAGTCCTACTTTTTCCACATTATATCCGTCAGACAATATGCCAGTTTATTCGTCAGACAACATGCCACAGTTTTTGTTTTTAACCCAGGCACCTCTCTTTTACTGTATGCCTGAAGTATTTGTTTTCAAAAGCGCCCACGCAAAGCATTACATAATGACAAATGATTGAATCACAAGAAGAACTGAGTGATGCTCAAACCACAAATACTGACTTATTTTTACCACACCACAGGTATTTTTCAGCGACCAAGGTACAAAATGTGTCCAAAATGTTGAATGATTCACTTTTACTCATTTAACCAAGCCACATTCACCACCATTTATAATACACAAGACAAATTTGCTTTTAACAGCAAATTCAAATTTCAGCATGGAAACAAGTGTTCAATTGCCAAAGCACAGATATAGCTGTAACTATAACCACAATTTCAGGCAATATGTTGCATGATTTGGAGCGGAAATACAAATCCATTTATGATTTATTTATAAATTGCTTAAATAAACCACACTAAATGGAAAGTTTACTTATTTTGAAACTGTCTAATAAGTCAGCTTATGTATAATTTTCGTTTTAATTACTCTATAATTTTAAAATTATATAACTTATATATATATATATATAATTTTCGTCACAACTTTTTTACAGGTCCAAGATTTTCCTTGAATGGGAAAACTTGTAGGCTATGTTTCAAGGAGAATCTTCATAAGTTCAACACAGAACTGTTGTTCTTTAACCGTGTAGTAATCACTCAATTTCCTGCTTTGAAGAAACAAATATGCTAAAAATCTCCAATAACATAATATAAGCGAATCAAAACGTTTGTTTTGAAAGCATTCGACTCTTTTCTGAACCCGAGAACCATCAAAGAAGCGATTCTAAGAGACAAACCACTGTCAGCAATCAATTCCTCTGAAAGCTGAAGATCGATCGGTGCGCGTCGGTGGGACTGAGCAAAGGGCACACCGCTAAACAACAGGTTTAAAGTGCTTGCAATCGAATCAAAACCTTAGTGCGTGTGTTTCTAATGGGCAGATAATTGAATTCATTCCAGTTGCATTATCCAAGTGTCGCTCACCTGCGTCATGTGTCGATCCGCACCTGTGTTCTCCTCATCTTTGAAGATGATGTCGGGGTTGTAGTTCGGTGTGAGATCTTTAAAGCGCTCCGAGATCCTGGTGATTTTGCCATCGTGTCTCCCACTGGCTCCCAGTGTCTTTTCAGCTACATTTGGAATAAACTGCTTATAATGAAGGGGTGTCAGTTTCTTCGGAGGCCGCCTTTTCCCATGTCCCCTCCCCGGCCCACAGCCCTCGTTAACAGGTGCGAAAATCAGGGCGCAGCCGACGAGGAGCCCAAACACCACGGGGAAACGCATTCCACCCCAACCCGCCGGGCACTCCGACACGGAGTGGGACGGTGGCACAGCTCGCCGTTCAATGAGAAACTACCCCCCGCAAGATCCTTATTCCCCCCCACGGGGTAAAATATGGGGAGGACAAAACCTCTACTTCTTTATCACCCTTATCCTCGCCATCGTCCGTGCGTAAAAGTCGCTTTGCGCAGAGGCTGTCATGGAGAGACGCCGGAGAAAAGATCCAGTGATACCAAGTGTTAAGTGCCCATCGAATGCGAAACGTAGGTCTCTCGAGAAAATCACCGAAATGAGAGTGAGCAGGCAAGTCCATTTATTTATCTAACAGATTCTAGGAGAGAGATACAGGGCGACTCCGACGCACACTGGGAGAGCTGTCAGAGAGACTGCTGCGGCTGCTGTCTTTGAATGAGCACGTCCTTTGGCGCACGTCAAGTGATCTGAGTTGCCCGGCGCACTGAGACCGCACCCTGCCAGTTTTTTGCCCCTCTCTATCCTTGCCTGCCACTCCTCCCCATGGGTCACATTGGGTGCGTCGTATACCCACCGGCTCCCTTTAACACTTCACAGCGCCTGGCTGGGCAAACACAAGTCTCGGGGAAGAACTGTGGACTCAGACTCTCCCATTCATAGATCCACAAATAGAGAACGAGCCTGGCTGCTCCTCAAACAAACGGGAGCAACTGTTGCCCTCCCTTACCTGATACGCTTAAGGAAACACATAATCTGGCGCACTCGTCTGAATGATTTATCATTCATTGATCAGAACAGATCCGTTTGTTTAACCGTTCAGTTTTGGTGGCAGGTGTAACGATGCTGCTTATGAGTCAAATTGTTTTTTTTTTTTCTGATCGAATAAGTTATTCTAAATTAGATCAATTAAAAGTCGTAATATCGTCTAGACTGTAAATAAGAGAAAAATGCTGACATTCTTAAAAAAGAAAAACGTTTGCATAAATAGTTTGGCAGTGCAGTGGCTTAAACATAAGCCACAAATCAGTTGTGTTTTAAAATTATTATTAATATTTTAAAACACTTATTTGGAAACAACAAACGTGATGGAAGCCATTTTGTTATCATGTGACCCCTGTTGCCCCTCATGATGTCAGATCATTAAAAAAAACAATTATATTTTACTTATTAAATGTAATAACTCTCCATATTTAGCCTATGATATGTATATGTTAGTGTGTGTGTTCGTTTATATTTACCACCACATTTAAAAAATAAGGGCATTTTCATAGTTTTTACTCAACTCTAAAAGGGTAAAACAATTGTGGAAAAAAAAATTACACACAAACACACACACACACACACACACACACACACACACACACACACACACACACACACACACACACACACACACACACACACATATATATATATATATATGAAGAGTTCAGATGCAAAAGCCTCTAAATGCCATTTTAAATTTTCTTCTAGAATGGTCATTTTTATCAAGCTTGTATATTTAAGTTCAGTAATTTCACTTAAATGACAATTAATAGGTAATCTTCATTGCCATTTAAGTGAAATTAATGAACTTAAATATACAAGCTTGATAAAAATGATCATTTTAGAAGAAAATTTCAAATGGCACTTAGAGGCTTTTGCATCTGAACTCTTCATATATATATATATATATATATATATATATATATTAAAAAATATGTATGAGCCTGACCTGGACTGGACAGAAAGAACATATTTTGAACTGGATTTTTAAAAGATTTCTCATTTGTTTCATCTTGGGCAACATTTTTTACCCTGACCCTGATGTTTTTTTGTTTGTTTGTTTGTTTGTTTGTTTGTTTGTTTGTTTGTTTTTGTCATTGCTTAGTACAGTCTCCAGGTTCCATGCACATCAGTTGCTCAATGGTTCTTATTTGCATCAGATATTATGATACAGAGCTCCAGTGTGTGCTGCTGGCCTGTGCTGAGGTAATGGTAGTGGTGGGACCTGCATGAGGGGTTCACTGTTCAAATTGGAGATGAAGCTGGTAAAGTCAGTAGCATATAGCTTGGGAGATTGTTACACAGGAGCAGCTCTATTCTACAGCACTGAGAGAAGACGCTCCACTTACACAAGTGATGACTGTGTGGATATAGCCAGCGGTCAGCACCTTAAGAACAGATATATCCACTACACTCAAACTCTGTTCAATTTCTCTTCAAATGAGGCAAAGGAAACAGACCCAAGTCTTCCAAATTAGCTCTTCAAATATTTGCCAGAAAGGGGCTAGTGGTTTTGTGCCCATTTCAAAAGCAAATTTAACAGACGTGGTGTTTGGTGTTGATTTATTTTTTTAATTATTTATGTCTGTAAATATCAAAGTATTTTAAGTTTGGGTTTTGTGTGTCCTCATTTGGAACAGGGAGTTAAAGGGAGTGATTGAGCGGGTGAGGAAAACACTACTGTCACTCTTTCAATCAAACTGCCACCTTGACCACTTGGTACAGGTCAGTGTGAAACCATGTGGCCATCTTACCCATCCCTCAATACCATCATGGTGTAGTATATGTTTTTCTAACTATTCATTCAATAGTTTGTGCTTTTCCTTCTTCCTTCATGCTCTCTCCTCCTCTATTCCTTTCCTGCCAGTCATTTTAAAGCCTTCAATGGTTCTTTGTGTCAAAGTACCTGTTTTCTACCTCAACTAGACCAATAAACAAGCTTGATGGATGGCCAGTCTATCACAGAGCTAACACATTGTGGGGGAAACAGGAGTATCTGGAGGAAACCCATGCAAACATAATGGAGAACATGCAAATTCCACACAGAAAAGCCTCCTGGAGTCCCAGACTGTGTGCAAAAGTGTTACAGTGAGTAACCCGGATTAATCTAAACACGTATTCTTAATATGATATAATCACTTCAGTTACAGTCACTAAAGTATACTTGAATAACTTTTTCCCTAAACTAGGGGTGGTGATGGTACAGTGGCTAAGACACAGGCCTTTGGTGTGAGACTGAGAGACCCGAGTTCGAATCCACTGTGAGACACCAATGTGTCCCTGAGCAAGACATTTAACCCCTAGTTGCTCCAGAGGCGTGCGACCTCTGACATATATAGCAATTGTTAGTCGCTTTGGATAAAAGAGTCAAATAAATAGGTAACAGTTCCACTATCACACCTTTCACAGATAGATGGTTTTATCAACTGATGCACAAGAGATTCAGGTATGCTTAAGCAGTACCAGCATGCATAAAGGGAATGCAATGGATGAACTTGTTTTCAAATTTTTGCATCTTGACTCTGGAGATCACAGAGACACAATTACAGAGCGTGTGGATCCCACGGAGCGTGTCCTCTTCCCTTTGATGGACGTAAATAAAGACATGGCTCCTAACAGGCCTGCTTATTGAACTTGGCTGTTGACAATGCCTCAGAAGTGGTCAGATCCAGTCAGAAATCCCTTCTGCCCTCAAGAAAAGAGCCCACGTCCTTAAAGGCAGCACATCAGCGGCTGTTCCCCGTCAACCGGCGATGGCAGTGGTTCAGACGCCAGCCCAGGCTCTTTTAGCAAGAGTCCATTGATGTAGCAGAGTTATTAATTTGTCCTGTGAAATAAGAGGACACCCGGGCCAAAACAGAGGGAGATGGGTGCCTTTCAAATAATGCCAGGCAGGGAGCCTTTCATCTGCTGTCAGTGGGGTGAGTGAACTGGGTCTGCTGGGTTCTCACATGGGCACCAGGGCTACCCACGGAACTAACCAACAAAGGGTGTGCAGGAGGGACAGGGAGAGCGAATGCTGAAGGGGAGGAGGAAAGAGAGAGAGAGAAAGAACATGGGCAACTTAGTGTTTCTCCACTATTAACTGGTAAACAACTCTGTTTTTAGTTGTTTTCGTCCTTCGGAATGGCGTTTTTGTGGATTGTGGTGGGATTCGGTGTTCTGTGAGCCGCTCTTTCTCTCCCCTCAAGGTAATGGCAGCTTTTTTTCCCTCACCACTTCCTGCTGTCCCTAACAACTTCAGGGGAAAGAGGGACAGCGCCCTCAAACTGCATGATAAACCTCATAGGGTCTTAACAGCCTCCATACGCCACTCATTCTTTCTTCGGTGGAAGCTGAAAGCGATTTCCCATGTAAAATCACTCCCAGAAAAAAATGTGCAAAAAATGTACCTTTAGGGGTAACACACATGGGCGTTACACTTAAAGGGACAACTTTGTTCCATATCTATCCCTAAAACAGGGGTATCAAATCCTGCTGCAAGGGCAATATCCTTCAGATCCAAAAGTTTAGGTCCAATCCTAATTAAACACATGAACCAACTAATGAAGGTCTTCAGGAATTATAGAAACTTACAGTCAGTTATGTGGAGCAGATTGAGCTAAACTCTGCAGGAAAAGAACTGGACACCCAAAAGGTGCATATTAGTACCTTAAAGTTGTAATAGTACACTTACATGTACCTTTTAGGGTTGAATAAGGTACAAAGATGTCCATTTGAGGGTACTGCCCTATAGTGACAAGCTGTTGTACCCCTGAAGGGACATTTTTTGCACATTTCTTTTCTCTGAGAGTGAAAGGTGTTCCATTTTGAAGACTTCTCCATTGGTATATGCCATATTGAAGTATAAGATGTGCTGACTGTGTGTTCACACTGAAAAACACCAATATTGAGACAAAGGTACACTAGCTGACATGGTGTGGAGTTTATGTGCACAGTGCAGTACATCATTTGGGATGCAGCTTCAGTTAAGGGCACCTGAATCCCAACTTCACTGAGCACTCATGACGACTGAAGACTCTGGAGGCCTCTATTTTGATTGGACCAGAGACAGGAGATGTCACAGGATTCTTTCATGCATGCAAGGAGCTGTGCAGCGTCAATGTCCAATTACTCCATTCCTCCACATGCAGTGAAGCACGAGGAGTGGTTGGGGCAGTCACAGCTGGAGCAAGCAGGGAAAAAATAATACCAGAGATGTATAAAAGCAGAGGCTAAAAGCAGACTGAGCTAAGCCGCCTGCTAAAAAAACAAAGCACTGCCCAGGGGACAGGCACAGGGTCGGGCAGTGTGGACCGGACTCGCCACAGCCGCGTCTCCACACGTTAGTGCTCCTGCCAAATGGCTGTAATTGAGGCCTAAAGTCAAGAGCCCTGAATAACTCAATGCATCAATAGCAGCCTGTGGGACCTCCCCCCTCTATGTTTCTCTTTACCTTCATAACCAATCTGAAACCGCTTTCTTTCTTTTTTTATGGTTGAGCTTAACCTCACTCACCTCCATGGCTCTTGCAACCTTTACTCTTGGCTAAATATATTATAAGACGATGAGATGAAAGGTGGGTTTCAGTGTTTCTGTTTCCAGAACAACCTCTGATGAAGCTTTCTTTCAACTGTGGGATTAAAGAATTAATTTTTTTTAAAATCTAATTAAAATCTATTGCTTGTCAACCAAAATTCAGGTAAAGATGTCGCCCGGATTGTGGCCTATCCTAAAAGATCTCAGAAAGTCAAATCTGATAGCAATAAATATTGATAATGATAAAGATTTGAGGATGATGCCCAGTTCTTTGTGCGTAAGTGATGGCTGTGGAGGGATCCATGCTAATGGCAGCGTTTAAAATGAAGTAGGGCACATGCTGCACATTTCTGTCTGTTTATTGGTCCTACTGGGTTCTTCTCTCAGGCTTCAGAGGCCTAGGCTGTTTTTTTTCCTGCACGCATGCCACAGCTGTGGTCACTGTGGTGATGTTTCACTGCTCAGAATGGATTCACCAGCTCAAAAACGTTCTTATTATATTTATATTTTACTATACCGCTACTGCCCTTGCCAGCTGTGTACTGGCTAACAGCCTGTTTCCTTTAAATAGGCTGTGACAATATGATTAAACAGCTAAAATGAAGGTAAACATCAACATTCAGTGCCCAGTATTGAAAAAAAAAAACCTTGATTTTAGGCCTCAATTTTTGCTGAGAGGCAAGATGAGGAAAAAGGCAAGAACACAAATGAGTGAGATATTAAGTTTGATATTATGGCAGAAGCTGTCAAGCTTGTTTAATTGTGGACATGCATGCAGTTGTCAGTGTTTTTGTGCTTGAAAGAGATAAAAAAAAATGAAATAATGATGATAAGTGAGGGATAGGACAGCAGAGTGAAGGACACAAAGGTGAGAGAGAGCATTGCGCAATAACGTGAGGGGGGAACGACGAGGAAAAGACAGAACAGATCCTGCGTGTCCATGTTGTATGGGTTTGTCTCGTGATCTTCTGTGGGATGCCGCTGTCACCCCGGCTGTGGCGAGCTGCTGCGGTGCTGTTGCAAGCTTCAAAGACTGCAGGCCTGCCCGCAGCCCTAATTAGAGGGTGCTTGCTCGGAGATGAGGACAAGCTAGCGGAAAGTGTGCGCAAGTGCACACACTATACGCTTCAGCAGCAGCAGGCTGACATGGATGAAGGGAGGGATAGCATCCTACTCTCATCTTTCACACAGTAGTCTCTCTCTCTCTCCCGGTCGATCTGTTTGTGTCTGTCTCTGTCGATTCCCGGCCCAGGTCTGGAAGGAAACCGTTAGTGCTGTAGTTGTAGGCCATCTGGGACGGTAGCTAGGACGTCTGGGCCTCCTGACTGTATATTTCTTTAGGCCCCTAACCTTTTTTAAGGCAAGTTTAGACAGAAATGTGGTCTGGTGGACAGTGCACGTGCTTCGACACATGGCGCATATATGCTTATACGAGTTCAAATCCTGCTTGAGCAATTTTCAGATTCTATCAATATTACGATATTACAAAACTAAATGTTTCTCAAGATCTCCTCTCATTTAAGTTTTTCTCATTTCAGACTGATCTCATGAAATTGCGTGTGTATGACACACCATTTCGTATTTGCATATTTGGCATGTTATCAACACGCATAATTGCTTTTCAGCGTGTTTATGAAAGCCGTTGACTTAACGTTATTACTGTATATATAAATATATGACCTACCTCAACCCCGTCACTGGGCTTAATAGCATTTATGAGTCTTCCCCTACCATCCTAGGAAAAAAAATGTCGCTCTCCAGATGTAGATCTACATTTTGCTTCGTTTCACTCTGACATTTAATGGCGTGTGCGTGTAGATACACGCAGAATCGCTTGGACATTAATGGCATAGACATACACGCATACACATGGATACACGCGGATAGCTCAAAATGCATATAGATAACACGCCACTTGACTTGAAAGTGGCGTGTATATTTACGCTAAAGTCTGATCTGAACACCCTCCCACTGTTGTATTTAGTTTACACAAATTTTTATCAAATACTGTAAATTTCGGTAATTTATTTCTCTGCAGTGTCATTATATTGAGAGCCACAAACATACAGTTGGGTAGATTGAAGGACTGTTCATTTTAAAACTAGTCAGCCTGAGACCTGAAACATTTACGCTTTTAGTGAATTATTGGGATGCCAGGATACTTTATGTAAGGGTTGGTTGGTTCACCCAAAAACAAAATTCTGTCATTAATTACTTACTCTCATGTCGTTCCAAATCTGTAAGACTTTCGTTCATCTTCAAAACACAAATTAAGATCTTTTTAATTAAATCTGAAAGGTAGTAAAGACATCATTAAAGTAATCCATGTGACTCCAATGGTTTAACCTCAATTTTATGAACCAAGGCGAGTCCTTTGTTTGAGCAAAAAACATAATTTACCACTTTATTAACAAAATATCAATCTCCAACACCCGTTCATGAAAGCACCACGATGGATCCCTGTTGTGTTGAGTGTTGACGTGAGAGCAGATGCTGTAGCTTGAATTTTCATTTATTGGTTACATATCCCTTTAATCAATGTAACACATTGAGAATGCACAAAGCTCAAATCAATGTTTGTAATTTTATAAGTGTAATATGTCATTTTATGTAAATTAAGCATTAAGTCCAACCCGGTCTCACCCCAAGACGTCATATAACTGACGTTTTGGGACGTCTTTTGACCATACGTCAATATTCGCCTTTTTAGGGCCCCCTTAAACGTCGGTAGATGAGGTTATGGGATCCTAACTCTACCCCATACCTAAACCTAACCCTAAACCTAACCCGTCACCTAACTGACGTTAAAGGTAAAGCGTCAGTTGTATGACGGCCCGGGATCGCCATCTACCGACGTTTAAAGGGGGCCCTAAAAAGGTCAGTCAGTTATATGACTTTTTGGGATGAGACTGTGTTATTAAGTCATATTTTGTCCTAAAATGTAATAAGAAATAAGAATATAAGATCAAAAGGGACAGTGCGCAAGTAGGAAATATAAAGTTGAGTAATTTGTTATCCTAAAGGATCCTGCTGGAAATATGGGGGCATCCTTGGACCTGTGGGCCCCTAGAATCATTCCCGCCTTTCACCCAATTAGCAATGGCCCTCAGCCTACTGCTACAGGAAATAGTCAGTTTGTGGTTAAATCTACCTGGTTATTTCCTCAGTTTAACGATTCAGTGGACACCAGAGGATTACTGCAGCGTCCTTCCATCATTCCTTAAAAGACTATCATTCCACAACTCTGTCTCAGTTGCCCTCTTTAGTAAGCCATTAGCACATGCTGTGACGATGAATCAGTTCATTATCACGGCCACATCTCCGCCTGGACTGTTAAATGCTGTTTATGATCAGCACAGCAACATAGTGGTCCTTTTTTTTGCTAATTTTATCCTCTTCCCTGTCTGTCTTCAGGTCCCCTCACATTCCCTGTCTCAGCTATATACAGAGGGAGACCCACAGGCCTGCAGTATAGCTAATCTGACCACAGGTAAACACTGTCTTACCACAGACATGCTCACTTAGCGCTATAATGGACAAAAATACCACACTGCAATGAATGCACACTCACACATCAGTGTACACACATACACCTTAAAGCAGACTGACTGTTTGTTGCTTATATCATTCAGGGTTTTCCAAGAAACACCACAACTTGATTCATGACACATTTTCTGTCCTCATGGTTTGTGTATATATCCTGTGCCTTACAGTAAAGTTTCCCATAGGAATCTGTCTGAGGCAACGTTTGAAAGGTGAGAAAGGGACAAGGAGAGAATTTACACAAACATAAAATTAGATGAGAGATAGAGATGGGACAGTCATGATATGGACAGCCAGCTTATTTGGGCTTATATTAAATGAATTCAGCCAAATTGTTTAACAGTAATGCATTATGAAGAATGTTTCTGTTTTTGTCAAGAATACCAATGGTGTCCAAAACAACATTGGATCACATTGACTTTTGTTGTACGGACAACATTTTTTAAAAGTTATTTTATAGTCCACAGAAGAAAGAAGGTCAAACAGGTTTTTTAAGGTCATGAGGTTGAGTAAATTATGGCAACATTTTCTTTTTGGGGTGAATTATTCCTTTAAATTGATACACGGAAAGACAGAAAATCAGCATGCAAATAAAGAAGACCATGCTGTAATTAAAAGAAATAAATTGCATAACCAAGTGAATTAAAAACACCCTAATGAACAAACCAAGATGTAATATTAATTGTTCTATCGGACTAAAAGGAGTGGAAAACTCCACTTACGTATATTTTTGGATATCTATAAACTATCAAACTTTTATTTCCGCATATAGATATGGGTGGGGGTGCTCTTTGCAGACTCACAATTGAAAGTCGATTTCACAATAGGAAGGAAAGTGGAGGGGACTCATTGAACAAACTTCATGTTCACAAAAAGATTAAAATCTGAAGGAAGTAATAATGGCAACTCCCATGCAGCCGCTGGAACTCGTTGGTACTCTTGTGCTAGCGTGTGCTAACAGTCCCACCTCAGACACAATTTGTCATCACTAGCGATTTAAAACAGGCGAGCGCAATCAGTGACCAGTGTACAGATGCACTGAAACCAAAACATCACTCTGTGATCTTCGGAGATTTCAAACGTCAACAGCGGGGGGTTCAATCACGCTAGTTTTAATACTTCTGTAGGAACAACAGAATTCACCGGAATTGCAATTTAATCTGAATCTATAATAATGACTAATAGTAATTGTCTTCTATGTTTCAGTCAACATATCTTTTATCTTCACAGAAACACCCTTCCTGGACAAATTATACTTTAAAGAGGAGTAAAGAAGGGGAAGAAAAGGCGACAAAAAAAAAAAAAATCAAAAGCATTATAAAATAACATAAAGGGAAGATCGGAGGAGACGGGAAAAGGCTGAGACAAGAGATTAACTGAAATAACCTGAAACTTAAAAGGGTAAGTTAATTTTTTGGATGAACTCAGTAATATTGCAGTCTATGATTGCATGTGGAAAGTTCTGGAAATGAAAGGTATAGGCCTGAGTGGGACTGATCAGTGATGTTATATGAGCAAGAGCCAGAATCACTTGCATCGCTCAGCACTCTGGCCCAAAAGCGCACATTCCCACATCCCAGCGCACCACTTTAAAGAGTGTCCCGGCTGCTCTGGTTCGCCACTCCCTGAGGAAACTGCAACTCTGAAACGGCAAATATCAATACATTCATTATGCACTTTATATTTATACATTTATACTCATGCTTTTATATAATCCTTGTATTTTGTTGCTAATAGTATTTTTAGAGAGGAGTTGCAAGGCCACACTAGACTGGCAGAGAAACTGTATGTTTGTCAAGTGGGTATGCAAGACACACACACACACACACACACACACACACACACACACACACACACACACACACACACACACACACACACACACACACACACACACACACACACACACAGAGAGAGAGAGAGAGAGATTTAATGCACTATGGTTTTTAAAGGGCAAATGTGATGGGCGCCCTGGTCAGTTCAGTGCACAGCTGTGTAGGAAAGAAACAGCCTCGATCCAACCCAGCTGTGGCTGCTGGTGTGTTTCTGGCACGGGGCATATTATTAACCCATCTGTAACAATCCGAAATGGTTTCTTACACCATTTAAAAATAACAAAACTATTGACTGGAATGGCAGCTATAAGAGCCAAGTTTGAGGAAGAAAAATTGCTTTAAGGAATAAATAATGTTGCTTAATGAGCCAGTTTGGCTGGTTAACCTTATTAAAGAAACAGCACTGTAATATATGATTTAAATCAACTATAAGAATGATTACAAATTATTATAATCTGAATCTCGCTCATAAAGGGATAGTTCACTTTGAAATTAATTTTTGGTATGTTTTAGCTTACCTCAAGGGCATCCAAGATGTAGGTGTCTTTGTTTCTGCAGTAATTTCAATTTTGATACTTTTAGGTGAAACTGTTCTTGTCTGTGGTCTATGTCACAACCTCAAAGAACATGAACAGAGAAGTCCAAATTAAACATGATTTAATGACTCGTAAATGTAATTGATGGCCTAAGACAAGAAACGAGTTAATGTGAGAAAACGAACAGTATTTAAATTGTTTTTACCTCTTGTAACCACAGCCATGTCCAAGTAATCTGAGGGTGAGGGCGCTTCAGTCTCAAATAAACAAAAACAAACGAATCTTTCTTTGATTCATTTGGTTCATTCAACGAACTAAATGAACAAAATGATTTGAAAAAAGATTTGTTCATTTTGATGAACGAGTTCGAACAGGAGAGTCACGAACGCTCATCACAGAACAGAGCAAGGCGAGCATTTGTGCTTATAAAACTTAAACTTTCTTATTTATTTTTGAAATGACCGATCGTTTCGCTAGATAAGACCCTTATTCATCGTCTGGTTGTGTTTAAAGCCATTTGAAGCTGCGCTGAAACTCTCATTTGGACCTTGAACCGTTTGGTGCCCAGTGAAGTCCATTATATGGAGAAAAATCCTGGAATGTTTTCATTAAAAACCTTAATTTCTTTTCGACTGAAGAAAGAAAGACATGGACATCTTGGATGACATGCGGGTGAGTAAATTATCAGCAAAAGTTTTTTTTTTTTTAAAGTGAACTACTCCTTTAATGGGAACGTTAGCAAGATTGTTAGAACATTTTTTAGTTAGTAAATGTAAAATTAAGTGGAAAGGCTAAGCTGGGATTTTCTTAAAACAACTCGAAAATACCACAATTTGTTTTGTTTTTGTTTTTTTTTATGGCACAAAATAAATAAGAATTTTCAGGTACTGTAAATTTTCTCAATTCACTCAGCATTGGCAGGTGTTGACAACATTTTGGAAACTGGATGGGAACCGTCTGTTGAATCTCGACACATGCCGTTTCAGTCCCCGTGCACTGTGTGCAGTAGTTCTCTCAATGGACAGGTTTGCATCACCTCTATAAGTTCACATTATCAAACAGCTTGAACATTTATTGACAGGCTGTCTGTAAATGTTTAACCTGTAGAATAAAGGGAAGAGGGCAGAGAGAAAGAATGAGTGAGAGAGAGCACGAGCAAGTAAGCAGTATAATCAGCTCTGTGGCTGAACTGGCCTCTCGTAGCCCTTCCTTTCTGATAGCTGCACAGCCTCTGGTCCACTGAACTATGAATTGCAACACTACTTTGAAAAAAAGAAAAAAGAAAAAGAAGAAAAAACATACACAAACACAATGCGAAACCAGTTTTACCCTCATTTCTTAACTCTGAGTCGGAAATAGTTATGAGGCAATATGGATATCATTTTAAATGTATTTTAGTGTGTGTGACAGACAGTCTAGTGTACATGTGAGGGTCATTTGTCATGGAGAGGTACAGTGTTTTTGAACCTGGAATCAATTATTTCAAGCCAGGACCAAGACAGGTTGATCACTGCATAATTGTATTAAATTATGACCAGTTTTTATATGGGTGTAAAGCTTTATGAATATTCACTTTGATTGTGGAAGAGCTTATTGTCTGATGGGTGGATAATCATCACAAACAGCGTAAAACACAATATTTAAAAGCTTCAGCAAGCGTTCACTCTAAACTATAATGATTGATATTAATATGGGAAACTCTGTATACCTCAAAAGTACAGACGGCTCCGGTATCCCATCAGGGGGTCTGTCCAGCAGAGCAACGAGCGCGAGGGGAGTGATATTTACACTCCGAGACTCCAAACATACTCATTCATTGTTCATGTGTTTATTGTGTTGAGCACATAATTACTTTAGCTGGGTCCCAGAGATGTTGCTGATTGTTCATATTGTTTCATTGAATTTAATTTAAAATGGACCTAAACAAACAGTCAGTGAGTGAATTTGCCTACTAATGGAGAGTAATCTGCAGTGCCATTTGTCAAAAAGGCCACAGAGTTCGCCTGAAGCGACACCTCACAAGTCTGTTCACGAGTCAGCTATTTTCTTTTCCTGATGCTTTGATAATATAACATCATTTAGATGTGATTTTACAGGAATATGACTTCAATGTAATTTTAGCTCTGATGACACAGCATCTGTGGCTAGAATGCATCCCTCGGTTTTTCGAAACAAAGGAAAAATACAATGGATTTTTTACAGTTGGAATCTATGGGGCAAATAGCCTACAGAACCATGAGAAGATGTTTAAAATATAAAACTGTCACTCTGCACTGAAAGTATAACCACAAATATTACACATATTAGCATGGGACTGGTGTAATAGAAACACAAGCTTTTCTGTTGAAAGTTATAACTCATAAAATGACTCTGAAAAGCTGGCAAACTGGAATACTTTCGCATGACTACTATGGATGAATACAAAGCATAGACTTTTTTTTGTTAGGGGTCAAGTACACAAAATGTATCTCTCTCCATTGATGACCATTCAAAATCGTTTGTGTATAGACGAATCCGACGAGCGTTCTTGTGTAGGCTGCCATCTTGTGGCGACGCCATTACTGAGCTGTTACACCGGCATAGACATATGCACCGGGATGTAAACAAACCTCGGAGATAAGGTGATAACGCACCCTTGATGACAGCTACAGCCAGGCAGACTTGTTGGGTTGATGATGTTAGACATTGGCCTCCAGTCACAGATGAAGGTACAAACGATCTTACAGATTATTTATGAAAATAGCTTGGCAAGCAAGCTAGGCTAACGTTTGCTACCGAGGAAACTAAAAAAAAAGATCTGTCCATTTGGCAACAATAAATAAATAAATGAAATCAAATAAACAAATTCATGTTTTTCATTTGTGTCCATTATTTATCTAATTTTTACATTGCAACGGGCATGGGTAAGGTAACGTTACAGCTAGAAAGTATACACAATATCGACCAACTACTGTTTTTAAACCATGGAAAGAGATCAATATAACAGCAGGAGAACAATTATGTCACATAACGTTACATTCAGCTCAGGAAAGCCATTTAATGACCATAGCATGTAAATTGAATAGAAAAAATAACAAGAGAGGAGATTTTGCTGATCACTATATCACACATTTATTATATTTTTTTACTTATGTCATTAAATAATTGTTATTATACGCGAATGTCCACGTCTTGTACTCGCCCAGGAAATCTGTGTTTACCGTACGGCACCAGACAGGGGCAGTCGACCCGGGGTATTCACAATGTTTTCTCTTCAAAATTGAAATTTTACTGCCACCATTGAAACAATTTATAACAGAAACTGTTTACCCACTCGACATTATACAAGGGCTAACGTTGTAACGTTAGTGTCAGTCGTAAATCTCGAGCTGTTTATTCCAGTGGACGCAAGTTGCAACTAAAACAATAGAAGGCAATGGCGCAACGCTACCCAGCAACAGCTCAGTAATGGCGCCCGCTTACTTCCGGCAGTAAACCAACATAGCTTATATAATAAATATTACAGATGATGTTTTCCCAGTCACTGTTTGTTTGTTTGTTTGTTTGTTTGTTTGTTTATTATTTAATTTTTTTGAGGACGAGGGGTAATTAACCTGTTAACTGTCACCCCCCCTTTTTTGAATAGACATGAAAATGCACATTTCGAACTTAAATGGTTGTAATTCAAGAATGCTTTGGAATATAGACATATGATTGGTCTTGTTTTAAAGAAGACATTTGGCAGATTTTTGTAGAAGTGAAATAAATTAAGAAAGTGAAACAGAAAAAAAGTTATAGAAGTTTGAGTTTATGGAAATGTACAATGTAAAAATATTAATTATTCATATTTTACATAAAATATATATTTTCAAAACCTGGGCTACTCTAAAATGGCAGAAAGATCAAAGCCAAAAATCTGAACAAGTTGTGTTTCAAATTTTAGGTTGATATCTCAAAAAATGAGCTTTCAGTAAGATTTTGTTTGAGCGCAGTACCAAACTTTTTCACTAGGGCACAATCAGACTCCATTACTGCCCATATAAGGGCGCCTGCATTTCCATTCGTGTTTTGAGTGATATGAACCATTATTTTCACAATTTTCATACAATTTCTGAAGTAGAAATCCTATTCAGAAGAAGCATGGGAAGTTTGGCAGATTTTGATATGAATTGAACCTCTTAGAAACACATACAAAGAACATGCATGTAAGTCATAGCTAGCTGCCACGTCACAAATGGTGAATTTATTATTTTTTTCTTGATATTTCAAACTTTTCAGACCTTTTTTTTCCAAAATAATTGAATGGATTCTATCTTTTGAACTTGTGGCATGAAAACAAACTGAGGTATCTACCATTTTTTCATGATTTTTCATGTTTACTGCTATTTTAAAATAAAGGTCTGAACACGCCTTATGAGTATGAAAATATTCTTGTTTTATATTGATAAATTATGGCTCCTCTGTAATATATTTT